GAGGAACAACAGGGGGTCCCCAGTTGCAGGCAAATACACACTTGGGTGCGTTAACGTGTCCTCGGGGGACAAATGCTGTCACCGGGTTAGGCTCGGGTAAACCTTCCGTGCATTCGTTGTGACTAAACTTGATTAAAATAACAAAAGTAGCATCTGGGACACCGTAGAGACAACAGCTAGGCACAACCTCTATACGCAAACGAGTTTTATTGCCTCTCTTTCACAAGGTGAGAGCGGTTCTCAGGAAAATTCAGAAGTCGTGTGTTTGGATTTTCGCGAGATCCAAATAAATCTGGTTGGCTTACAGTGGAGGTCACGTGGAAAGGTCATGAAAAAGAAAGGGTTGCATACCTTTGTCTTTTACTTCTCTATGCTTGTACGAAACATGAAGGAAAATCCCACCTGTTTTGGCCATGTTCTGATCTACACGCCATCGTCTCTCACATCGAAATGTTTAAAGGCATTCACAGATTATTCAGTAACTCCCTCTGGCCAACGCACGCCCCGTAAACATACACCGCCCCTGGTTGTACAAGTACTATGTTTTATATATTGGTCGAATCTGAACCAACCATGAAATGACTGGTTGGCAATTAACGGCACGAGACAGAACTGCTGCCAATAGATTACTCTCAGTCTATGATAAAGCATAGACCTGGAGGGAAAAAACAATGGACTGCCAACTCCAATGGGCGCACCGCGCATTGCACCGACGCGTGGTGTTTCCATGTTCCGCCGGTCGGAGTTGCCGGCACACTCCAGGAAACTTCCGGTTGACCTTCGGAGTGTTGTTCACGTACGATTCACGATTGCGACCGTCGCGTGTCGCTGCGCTCGTAATTTTGCCTTTGGAATTCTTTATTTTTCTTGTTTTTCGTGAAAAAAATCGCAAAATGGAAATGATTGGATGAGATAGACAGCAAACAAGTATGTTATGATATTCGGTAGTCAGTACAAACGCAACCACCATTTGTGTCTTTAGGCGCTTTTGCCAACAACTGCACAATTATTACCTGGACATTTATGCCATTTTTGAGTGGTTGCTGTCTGTGCTGGTAACATCGGCACTTCCGATGGGCGCAGTATCGAGCGCGCCGGCTGGGTCGGGAACCAGATAACGCTATAATAAGTCCCTGCAGCAGACGGACTGAGACATGTACGTACAGAATGTCCTATATTAGTCGAATGAGTCCTTATGATTACGTCGTAGTGAAAATTTTCATACAATACCGACAATAATCGAAAGCTACATCTGTGTATTTTTCTTTCACACGAATAAAAAAGGACTGAAGAAACAACTACATAGCCAATACGGTTTCAAAACTCAAATATTTGACCTCCAAAAATCAATGCAACCAGTGAAGTACTAGTGTGCTTTTATCTAAAACAGAGGTTACCGTGGTAAGCTTTTGCTCTTAGTCGAACGTGTCCTTCAAAAGTGTAATCATTCTGGTTTCCTTATCTCCACAGCTCTACCAGACGAAGTTTTTGTCGGTCTCTAAAGGAGGTCGAGATTTAGATCTAAACCAGCCATCTTTTCTCGGTAGTATTCGTCAAACCTCTCGTTTTGAGCAACGGTAAAAGTGTTCTTCCAATCTCCAACAATGCCTGAAATGTGTGGTAAAAATATAAGCAGATCTCAATAATATTTACAACATGTAATGCACCGATCTATATTCAGCAAGGCATGCGACGTTATTTTGGTATTAACCTTTTCGCATGAGGTTGGGGGCGCCAACTTTGCCTTCCATCCCTGTTCCTGGCGCTGCTAGCTCTCCAGCAACGTTGTACCGCTGCTTCATGCTCTTCACGGTCACCAGGCCGACAATCTTGTCGACCACATTGTCCGACAGGGCGCGGCCTAAGAAGTCGGCGATCTGAATAACAGCTCCACGCGTGTCCTGCGAAAGTCAACCGTAAAAGTGCGTAAAAGCTTAGACTGATGCAGTGAACAATGGGGGTAGACTCATTTAAATCGAATGTTTCCATGTACACTGAACAACTGCACCAAAATGGCCATCATACCTCTTTCATTTTCTCGTACTTCAGAAGCAGATAATTCTCGCTGTGCCGCTCAGACCAAAACTCAGCCACGTAATCGAACCAAGGCAAGTACTGGACTATAAAATGTTTAAGGAGATAGAGGGAAAACATTAGAGGTGAAGCTTGCAGTAGCGAGTAAGAACAAGAGCGGCACAGAGGTCTGTCTTTAAGTTCGACATTCAAACCCTTCCATGTAAACCTTTATCGGGTGTTTCCACGGAGAATATTATCCGAGGCACGGCATACAGATCCAAAACGTTGGAGGAAAAAATGACTCTGTCACACAATAGCACGATCCTCCAACTATACAAGCGCCCCTTGTCTGGTACGCGGACTTTGCACTTTACCTCACTTTCCAGAGTTGAACGCTACATTGACCCTTTTTCCGAACTTCGTATTTCGTTGATTTAAGCAGTTAATTCGGGGTAAAGAAGGGGGCGAAACGATGTAGTGTACCTTTATCCGAATACAGATAATTATGGAGGCTCTCTTCGAAAGTCAGAGAGGATTCCGGGTCCATCCCTTTGGTAAAGTGGTGGAAAGAAACAATCGAATCCTTGAGATTTCGGATGACAGTGATCACCTGAATCAGGAATGAAACCAATTGAATTTTTTATATGCAACGAGTTTAGGGGCTTTAACAAGGTGCGGTTCTCAAGAAAAATTCAGAAGTCGGTCATTTCTAAAACTCATCTATCTGAGAGACCAACAGTTGATACATGTACTGCAAACGCATACGGCTCTGATTTTTCGTGTTGGCAGCTCTGCCTCTCTGAATTAATTTGGGGGAAAAAAGCGTTCGTATTGATGAGGCTCTCAAATAATTTTCGGTCGTGTGGGATACTTTGTAGCCATGATAAGGCAGGCAAGGACAAGGACCGGCAAGGACTAAGCCTAAAAAGGCTTATCTGCAGTGCATGTGTCTCATTTCAGTTGCTGATATCAAAAGTTGCCTCTCCAACACAAACGCTTCACAACGCATTTTGGGACAACTGCAGATCGACAGCCATTTTGTTTCCAATGTGTGGCTTCGTGTTTTACGCATGCTCAGAACTGAATGATGAACCGTCCAACTTTGATAGAGGGTCATTTTGTCACCCCACCTACTTGAAGCGTTGTGTCTTAAATTTGCTGTCAATTACTGGAGCTTCAAACGAACGATCATGTTATTGGCTGAGCAGTTAATGGGGGAAGATTCGGGGAAGAGAGATTGTAGCATATTTACCGGCTCATGGGAAAATGGAATGAAGATACAAGCAACTTGGCCTGAATTTTTAGGGCGTCAAGGGGAGACCCTAAATCTTAAAGTTGTCTAACGGGAGTAACGTTTTGATCGTGTGGCGAAATCCCAACAAATAGAAAAGCCACCTTTACCCTCGGTGCTCATCAGCCTTGTACACACGTACCTTTCCTTTGCCTCCGAGCAGTTGTTCAGGGAGGAGTCTCTTGGGAACGTGTGTGATCACAACGCGAGGCGACTTCCAAGATCGCGCTGCCTTGTAGCGGGGGATTGCGTTGTCACCCGGCATGACATCAAACTCCATTGGCAGCGGCTGCTGCTCTCTGTCAACTTTGTCCACATCGCCATTATTCAAGATAAGTTGACAGATTTCAAAAACCCAATGAGTACCTGAAAATAATCAAAATACAATCACTGGTTTTATTTTCAAAAGGACAAAACCCCATATACCTAAAATCCACAAATGACTAATTTTTTTGCAGTTTTTCCTCCTCACAAATTCCTCATTTCGACAAAAGTTTATTTTTTAAGGAAACTGACTTATTTTTAAGCATCCTCGTATGAGGCTTAAGTGAAACTCTGTAGAGCCAGACAACGCGCAAAGCGGGCAAAAGTGCCAACACGAGAACAGTAATCGGCAATAATCGATACAGACGGGATTTACAAACCCGTGTGATTCAAATGCTCCTGACCGTCAGGGATATCCCAACAGTGGAGGTTTAGTGCGAAGGTCGTGCTATGTACCAATTTGTAACCGTGTATAGGCAGGTCCGTATCTTTCAGTGCGATCCAACGCGATCCGACCACCCATCGCTGTTGAGCCTTTGCAAGCAAAACGCCATGTTCCAAGCCTGCCGGAAATTATCACACTGTGCCATAATATGCACGCCACGCTAATAAGCGAGGCGGAAGTTGATATATGCGTTGAAATTAACGTTCTTATACCCAAAGTGTACCGGTACAAGGTTCTAAAAACTTGGGCAGTTAACTGATTAACCGTTGAAATCTTCTCTTCCCTAACAGGAACAGTCTGGCAAAAAGTTCCTTAGGTATCCAAACGGCTGAATACCCCATTCACTGCAATACTTAAGCCAGCTCGACCTAATTCGCTTTTCCCGTTTTTATGCCCAGTGACCGCCACACAATATGTTGATCCTAATACGTACTCGCATACCATTTTAATGCATTACCATCCTTTGTTAACGCCTGGATATGCTAACGGTGAAGTCAAATGCCAAGGTTAATACGAAGGAATATACGTGACGTCACGACGGCACGATGCGACGGCAAGACGAGCCGGCACGACGCGACGGTATCAAGAAATAACACGACGCGACGGCATGGTGCGACGCCACGGCGCGATGCAACACATTAAAGACAGTGTAAAAGTAATATTAGTAAGGAGGCGACGCCACGACGCGACGGCATGGTGCGACGCCACGGCGCGATGCAACACATTAAAGACAGTGTTAAAGTAATAAGTAAGGAGGCGACGCCACGACGCGACGGAGCCGTTGTAGCGTCGCACCGTAGCGTCGGGGTGACTGGACGACGGGACGCAATTTGGGCGGCTATAGAACACCATATCAGGCGCCTACCGTACCTGCTTTTGGCCACGTTGCGATCCACACGTCATCGTCTTTTACATCGAAATTCTTAATGCCTTCCAAAGATCGCTCGGTCACTAACGTGGGCCACCACACGCCCTTGAGACACACTTCACCCATGTCGACAGGTCTTTTCGCCTGAAATAAAGGCATTTTGGCAACTAGGATCGCTCCGACGAGTGAAGGTACGGTCATGCACACCACACCGAGGACGATGTAGTGTAGGCCTTACCAAGTTTCGGCCTCACATTTTACCACCGTCCAATGTTACAGTAGACTTGATTCATATCTGTTATCTCTCCCGCTAGCATTTGCCCGTTCCGGTATCGCCAAACACGTACAGTGCGGCTGTAATGAAGACACAAACGTCAGCATTGGGAGAAGCAATATGTACTATCATTGACCTTTGTCACTGCAATCGTTACAGTAGGCGTATTATAACTGAAATGCGGCGAACTCATACACAATTGACTATGTGCATGTACCTTGTACAATTTGCAGAACATGGCATAGAAATATTTATAGCATAGATCTTGAAACAACATTAAAGGTAAATATTCACAGTTCGCGTGCAGTTCAGTGGCGGCATTTCAGTTGAACTAAGAGTCCGTCGATTTGTAGTTTTCTGAAAAGCAGCTGACAAAATTATTGATGAAAACTTCCTGTGAAATGAGTCTTTCTGGCACGTTGTCTTTTTGAGGAAAACACAAATAAAAGAAAGCCATTTCGAACGATGCGTCTAAGGATAAACATTTTTGGAAAATTGCAATTAATTTTAAGGCTGCGCAAGCACTTTACCATTATTAATCAATTCCGTATGTGATGTAACGTAGCTAAATGCAAGAAAGTGTCCCAGACGCTGAATTCAGCTTGAATTCAGTCACTCAGTAACTTTTGATTTAAAATAAAAGTCTCACAATTTTGAGTTTTCCTGGAATATACAGAATTCACAGAGCTGAAACTTCATCAGGTTTGTTCTACAGTCACCCTGCTTTAGATTTTAAGTAAATTTTGTTACCTAAAAGGAACGTAATGTACAAATGATGGAGAGTACCTTTATTGGTATTTCATATAAAACTTGGTGCTGTTTTTATGGCGGGGGGAATTTGTTTAATTTCACTGTCCTCGAAATCAAAAGGAAATCTCATTTAGAGGAGGCATTCTGTTTCGCAACTACCAGAAACGCAGCGTAGAGATTTCGATGATTTGAGAAAAGCATCCATTCAAATATTCAGAATCATTTTTCACAAATGAATTTCCTTTTATTTTCATTTCCGGTTTGTTCTTGTTTTCTAGCTCATCGGAAACGGGAGGATAGTGTCAGTCCTCCAGCCTTAGTCAAGTATCGGCAGGATCAAAATAACGTGTGTGAGGCCGATGTAAGCTGGGCCATCATAGCTTCTAACCTTTCCTCTAATCGAAAAAATACTGACTCGTGAATCCATATAGACATAACTTCAGCAGCGCAAAACTCCACCATTTTTGGACGACTCCTCGTCTACAACCTGCCCTCAAAGCCAAAGCCTGGTAGTAACTGGCTAATCAATTGTTTACACGACCGACGCAATATCTCGCTGAGCTTGAAGTTTGACACTGCAACCTTTACAATAGGGGCGGATCTCTTCTTTTCAAATGTTGCAACCGCATTGTTTTGAATCCCATTTTTACAATCGAAAAATAGCTTCATTGAATATTATGAATGGAATTCTTCAACTGTGCGTAAATTCCCTATGCCGAGGACCCATGAATAAAGTCTTTGATGGGTTCTAGATTCAGCTTGGATTGAATGATGCAGTTCCTGTTGGCCAAAGATACATTCAGCTTTAGAATCTTTCGAAAAATGCTTTCCCCCTCCATTTCACAAAACTGTTTTGTCACTAGTTAAGAGAAATCCACTTTCAGATCCGAATCTGCCATCTTTTCCTGGTAGTATTTGTCAAACGCCTCGTTCTGAGCAACAGTAAAAGTGGTCTTCCAATCGCCAACAACACCTGGAATAGGATGTGAAAAATACAAGCACATTAGAATAATTAGTACGCCCAGAATGCATGTCGAGGTCGCAGGAAATTAATGATGCAATATTTGCTAACCTTTTCGCATGAGGTTGGGTGCGCCAACTTTGCCTGCCATCCCTGTTCCTGGTGCTGCCAGCTCTCCGGCAACATTGTACCGCTCCTTCATGCTCTTGACGGTCACCAGGCCGACAATCTTGTCGATCACCTCGTCTGACAGGACGCGGCCTAAGAAGTCGGCGATCTGAATGACAGCTCCACGCGTGTCCTGTAGAAATCATCCAGAAAACTTGCTTGGGTTCACGCAATGAACGCCAATAAGGACCCGCCCTTATGTAAATATACACTGAACAGGTAATACACAAAATGGCTGACCTACCGCCTTCATGTCCTCGTACTTCAGAAGGAGGTACTGCTGGCTGTGCCGCTCAGACCAGTACTCGGCCACGTGATCGAACCAAGGCGAGAAGTGGACTAAAATGTTTAAAAACGAAACGAGAGACGGATGAGTTTTGAAGCTTTCCATGGTGAAGCGGCAAGTTAAGGAAGAGGTTTGCAATAGCGCCTTGCAAAAACATCTCTTTTGAGTATTGAGCGGTTCTGGAAAAACTCCGGAGGGTACCAAACGTTTCAGACAGTATGCCCTATGCGTCGTCAGGGGGTCTCCTGACTAAAAGAGATATCCTTGCATGGTGCTACCGCAAACCTCTTTTAAAACAGACGCATTGAAGGTCTAGGTCGCAGTGGCCAGTGAAACTCCGAGCAGCAGGAAAGTCTGTCTTCAAGTTCAACATTTAGCAAATAAACCTCTATCGGGTTTTTCTGAGGGGGGTATTTCCGGAGGCAAGCCACGTAGATCCCAAGGGTTGGAAGTGTACGTGACTCCACCATAAACGTGCACAATTGACTGATTACGAGCACACGTTGGCTAATACGCCAACATTGAAATACATTCGGGTCCAGTGGTTCTGTAGACTAACAATGTTGTTCACTATTGTTCTCTAACAATATAATGATTTTAGAGGATTTCCGAAGACAGAAGGGGAAAAACTGCGGAAGCTTGGAGAAAATGACGTTGAAATTTGTGCCCCTGTACGTATTCAATGGGCCGCTCAAGTTTGTTGCCTCCAATTGCATTAGTGCGCATGCACGCATAAATTAGAATTTATTAGCGAACTGGTCTATAGCCTCGCCGTAGACAGTAATAGTGGGCGTGGTTTAAGCTACGCGGTAAATTGTTTCCAAACCTCCTGATTCGTTGGTATTTGTAATCATTTGCCAGTAAAGAGGTAAAATGATCTACGCATACCTTTTTCTGAGTACAGATAGTTTTGCAAGCTCTCGTCGAAGGTCTGAGTGGATTCCGGGTTCATCCCTTTGGCAAAGTGGTGATAGGAAACCAGCGAATCCTTGAGATTTCGGATGACAGTGATCACCTGGATAAGGAAGGAAGGAAGCAAACTTCATTTGGTCGTCACTTCGCTGCAAACTTAAAACAACTTAAAACTCGGCAATTTTAATTTGGCAATCCGCGCCTCGAGCAGAAGCGCCTATTTAAAGATTGGACAGAGCTGCGTTGGTCGGGAGTGTTCGTTTAAATGGTAGCGATGCATCCGTGATGCGTGCATTTCCTAGTCGTTCGTGAACCGGCAAAGTTCAATTCCAACTAAAGGAGCCGCCGTTGCTGAGAAAACAGCGCCCTCACTGAGTCCCGCTCGACACCCATAGCACAGCACGAGAATTGACGCTAATAATGATATATAATTGTATAATAATAATGTACTATATAATACTGTATAATACTGTAACATGTCTGGTAATGTTTTTATGCTCCATATTAGGACCTCCCTTTTAGAAAAATGGAAGACAGCTCATTGCACACACAAACACACTATGAAGCCCGTCTGTTGAAATAGTTTCCAAAATAATGCCATACATCCGAGTTGTATTACCATCTCTGTTTTAAAACCTTTTGGGATGACTTTAATGGCGGACTCAAGGTAAAAAAATAGGGGTCAAAAGATCTGAATTTCATATCACAAATATACAACTATTACTATTTTAACGAGATTCCCGAATTTCAATGGCTGTGTGGAATATCTAGAAAAAAAAATTTCGCTGCAGGGCAATGTACGGGTCATTGCCTCGTTGATGCAACTACTTGTTGGTGTTTGCACATGTAGTGACAACTGCAAATGAGCCGCCATTTTGTTTCCTAAGTCCCCATATATAGGTCTATGCAAGTTTACGCACGCACGGAACCGATGATCTGTCATTCAACTTTGAGAAATCATTTTTTAAATTTGTTTCCGAGTCACCTCGAAACACTGTTGTTTACTTTCATGTTCCAATCAATCGCTGCAGCATAACACACAAAAATGTACGGCATCATTTGTGTATACAACCATGTTACATCACGCAGTTTTAGAGGAGTTTGGCAAACGGGGTTTGTGGCAGTTTCAAAAAACTTGTGTAAGTCAAACAGTGAAATTATACCATTCCGAGGCCCAAAGGTTCTCGGAGCCCACAGTGTTTAGGTAGTCTCGGTGCTTGCCAACCTCGTACACACGTACCTTTCCTTTGCCCCCCAGCAGTTGGTCAGGGAGGAATCTCTTGGGAACGTGGGTGACCAGAACGCGAGGCGACTTCCAAGATGGTGCGGCCTTGTAGCGGGGGAGTCTATTGTCACCTGGTCTGACGTCAAACTCCAATGGCATTGGCTGCTGAGCTCTATCAACCTTATCCACCTCGCCATTATTAAAGATGAGGTGACAGATTTCAGCGACCCAATGGGTACCTGAAAATTGTCAAAACACTATTGTTAATTTTATTATTCAAAAGGCCGAGATCTCCTTTTATATGTACGAAGTCGGAAGAAAGGGTAACTTTTCCCATTTTTGTTTCTCCTCGCAAATCCCCCTTCACAGAACGATACCTTTTCGAAGAAATTTAAAAGTATAAATGACTGCACCTTTATACATCAGAAGAGACTTTAAATAGGCCTACCATAAAATGTGCAAAATAATTTCAGATCGCAAAAGTGAGAAGTCATACTGCCATGCGGGTGTCCAGCAAGCAGGAACGTATAAAGACTATAGGGCGGCTTACTGTGTGCACATGGTTCCCGGGCCATATTACGAATGGTTCAAAGATTGTAACGCCGGCTTGTACCATTTCAGGTGACCAAACCTGGTGAACTGATGGTCCACCTTGGCCAATGTTTCTTACAAGACCAAAAATCAACTTCGTGTCCCCTCCAGAGAAAGAGGGCAAAATGTAAAATGTAATTGTCAGCGCCATCGTGACTGGGCCGGGTGTGAGTTTGCCGTACGCGTTGAATACTGCGCAGGAATTCAGTGGACGCTTTGATATATATTCGTCGGGACATTGATAAAGCCAAATCGGGACGCTGTTAAAGCACTCAAGGTTGAGGTGACAAAGTTGGTAAACGGAACTTCTATTATTCTCTGCAAGGAACAAATTCCCGCCATATGTTAACAGTATAGACGTCAAGTGCAAAGGTCAATACCGATTTAGAAATTTGCAATTGTATAATGAGGGGGGTTTAATACCGTACCTGCTTTGGGCCATGTTGCGATCCACACGTCATCGTCTCTCACATTGAAAGTTTTAATAGTATTCAAAGCTTGCTCTGTCACTAAATCGCTCCACCACACGCCCTGCAAGTATACATCACCTTCCTTGATCGGTAGCTTCGCCTGCGGTGGTGAAGACATATTGACGATAGGGATCGCTCCGCGTACACGTACACGTATGCAGTCCCATGACAGTGCAGAATAGTCGGAAGTGCGAAGTCTTGTTATCGCTGAACAAATATCACAATAGACTCGATTCGAGTCGGTATCAGAAACAAAGTGCTGTTACATTAAAAGACTCAGAATTACGCTCGAGTTAAACCTGCACAGAGACTCAAAGTCCATGTACAACGTACATGTATACGATTCAGTATAGACCACAGTTCACTGCATCTTAATTTTAAATAATGACTGCAATAAATTTTCTTCGACACACTAATTTTCTACAACTTTCCCCACACATCAGAAGAAAGCTCATTTCTTCATCTTTTTTATTCCCTTAAATTTTGAGTGGTTTAACCAGTTACTCTTAAACATGATTCTATCCAGAGATGATCACCCCTAAATATAGTCGTAAAGCCCATAACCTGAAATTAATTCCTGGTATAGACGATTCCGGTGACTATCACTTGTTATTTGCAGTGGCGCACCCCTTTAATGCTAGTAAGCATTGTGATAGCGATTGTGCGGAGCCACTATTTCGTAGCAGTCGCTCTGTGCAAAACCCAACACAATGCTTAGCGCCATTCAAGGGGGCCATCAGGAGTGTCTGGTGAAACTTCAGAGGATTCATTTATACGCTCGATGGCAAAACAAAGCTGTTTGAAGTGCCCCATTTTGTCCATTCCCCCCAGGAATATAAGTAGTCCTGATGGTAAATTCTATCTTTGATTGTTACAGGCCATACCATCGTCTACCCCCCCCGCCCGCTTGACTCGTGAATGCGCCACTGCGTTTGATCTGGCATTCCCGTGTCTTTTATCGCACTTAAAGGATCAATGTAATCATTTTTATCTTAGAACCACTTTTTGTGTATGTCTGTACTCCTCTTTCAATGATGGAATCTGTATGGAATTTTTTTTTTAGTTAAGTGAACTGAAAAGTGCACTATTTAAACATCAGTTCAAAACTGACTGAGCATTTTCGGAAAAGTGAGGGCGTCTTTGCTGCGATGTTAATCTAGGAAGACACAGCTCAGTTTGCATGTTTTCTTGTTCAAATTGTATTCATATTCATATTCAAAAACATTTTGAAGAAAAGGTTGCTCACTGGCATATTGCCATATACTTACACAATAAAAAATGAAATGTACGACATTCTTTGTGCACAAATCAGTGCAACACTTAGGTTCAGTGCCTTGGAGGACGTCATTATTTTGCTTATGAATATGCAAATGCTATCATGATAAAAACCAGAAAAGCTCCAAAATATGGGGTCAATTAGTAAAACGATAATTTAAATAAGGTTAAGTGAAACCCGAATGTTCAATTTCGAGGGTTTCAATATAAAAACTTTGTGAAAAATTTCTATTACATGGTCCCTTTAATTACCGCTGCGGAGGCTATTTGATAAATCATTCATTGTTGTAATTTTACCAAACATGTAAAATTTATCATAATAGACAGGTGCTTATTGGTTTCTGCTCTCGATATATTTTCAAAAAAGGAAGACAAACTCACTTTCAGTTTCAGTAAAGCGGACCAATGAATTAAGTCTTTGATGGGTTCTGGATTCTTCAAAACTTACATTAAACTTTAGAATCTTTCTTGTGCTATTCCCACTCCACTTCAAGAAGTTTTTTCGTCACTGCTTAAAAGAAATCCACTTTCAGATCCGAATCTGCCATCTTTTCCTGGTAGTATTTGTCAAACGCCTCGTTCTGAGCAACAGTAAAAGTGGTCTTCCAATCGCCAACAACACCTGGAATAGGATGTGAAAAATGCAAGCACATTAGAATAATTAGTACACCCCAGAATGCATGTCGAGGTCGCGGGAAATTAATGATGCAATATTTTACCGACCTTTTCGAATGAGGTTTGGTGCGCCAACTTTGCCTTTCTTCCCTATTCCTGGCGCTGCCAGCTCTCCAGCAACGTTGTACCGCTCCTTCATGCTCTCCACAGTAACCAGGTCGACGATCTTGTCGATCACCTCGTCCGACAGGACGCGGCTTAGGAAGTTGGCGATCTGAGTAACGGCTCCGCGCGTGTCCTGTCATGTCGAATCATCCAAAAAACTTTGTGAAAAAAGTGGGTGGACACCAAGAACGCCACTGAAAGATCCGAAGTATACCGAACAGGTACACTTAAAGGCTGACCTACCGCCTTCATGTCCTCGTACTTCAGAAGGAGGTACTGCTGGCTGTGCCGCTCAGACCAGTACTCGGCCACGTGATCGAACCAGGGCGAGAAGTGGACTACAAGAGGAGAAAGGAGACAGTGACCAGCAATAACATGCGCAGCACGAAAGTCTGTCTTCAAGTTCGCGACATTTAGCAAATAAACCTATCTGGGGTTTTTTTCCCGAAGAGGATATTTTCGGAGGCAAGCCACGCAGGTCCCAAGTGTTGACAGACTGAGCGACGTACACGCGCACGATCGACTGATCACGAGCGTCCATTGGCTAATTAGGCCAGCTGAGTCTTGCAATCAATTCTGCTTCTAGTCGTTCCATTGCCTCACCGTACACAGACATCATTATTATAGTGGGCGTGGTTTCAGTCACATACTATTAAAATTGACCCTTGTTTCCAAACCTCCTGATTCGCTGGGGGTTTTGTTTGGGGGGGGCTGAGTCACTTGGGAATAAAAAAGTGGAATGATGTATGCATACCCTTTTCTGAGTACAGATAGTTCTGCAAGCTCTCATCGAAGGTCTGGGTAGATTCCGGGTTCATCCCTTTGATGAAGTGGTGATAGGAAACCAGCGAATCCTTGAGATTCCGGATGACAGTGATCACCTAGACAGGGAAGGAAGCAAATTCGTTTGGTCTTCACCTGGCTGACAATATTGAGCAACTTCAAACTCAGCATTCTTAATTTTGCGATAGTGCAGCACGACAGTTGACGTTCGTTTTTTGGTTTTTTTTCGCCTTTAATTCTTGCTTCATGGCACTGTACAATTCATTGTGATATGTGTAGTAATACAATGTATTTTTATGCTTCGTTTGAGCCTCGAGCTGGACCAAGAATGGGCACAATTTTCCCAGCGAGGGAGGCTCCTTTGGTCGGAAGTGCACTTGTCGTTCACAAACGACTATGGAATGTCCGCCATGCTGTCACACTCCCACTAACATATCATGGCTCTTTTCAACCGATGAGGGGGTGCTCCCACTAAAGGCAGAAGACGAAGTCCCTTTTCGGAAAATAAATTTGCAGCTCACTGCACACAAACACATTTTGAAGCCCTTTATCTACAGAAATACAGGTATTTCACAAATGCCATGCATCCGAGTTTTTATACAAGTGTATCTCTTTCGGTACCAAAACATTGTCGCTATCACTTCATCGGAGGAGGTAAGGACCAGAATGGCTTAAGTGTTGGGCAATGTGCGTTTGTTTCATTCAGTACTGTGGAAAGTCAATTTGCTTCTCAGAGGAAAACGCTTGATGGCGCTTGCGCATGTTGCGACGATTGCAAAGTGGACGCCATTTTGTTTTCTAGGTCCGCTTGCGTGTTTTTCGCACGTTCACAACCGATAACCAATTATCCAACTTTGATAGACTTTATGTTTTCATGTCATCTCGAAGCACATAGTTTACTGTCATTTTTCGATCAATCACGCTCACAAAAGTATAGTGTCATGTGTAGGTAGGCCTGTATTGAATTCCGGCAACAGCTGTTTTGAACCTTGCTTGGGTCCTGCCCTGGCTCTTTCAGATATAGATATAGAGCTATTGTAATTGAATTCAAAGGACTTGGCAGAGCCATTTCGGCACAGCAGCATAAAAACCATGTGTGCATGCAACGTGCATCATACCAGTCACGGCCCTCCGCGCGCCATAGTCCATGTACAAACTCAAATCCAATGAAAATCAAGAGAGGGCGCCCTGCGAAAAGAGATTTTGCTCGCGCGTGCTGTAATTGAAAAATTTGCATCATGAAATTTATGAATGAATGTCTCCGAAAAATTTGTGTGGTGCTTATTTATCGTATTGTTTTAATATTCCCCAATAATGAGTAAAATTTGCTTTTTACTAAAAAAGATTGCGGTATTTGAATTTCAGTTTAAAAAATAAAATCAGAAAAATGCGAAATCTTTACTTTTTTCATCCAAACTCCAAAAATTGGTGGATCCTCAATCTTCTCGCACTTTGAGGTAACCTTTCAACCCCCCCCCACCGGCCCGTACCTACAAAAAAACGCGGCAGTCTCAAAAAAGATGCCTCTGCTGACGATCCCTTGACTCAAAGATGACTTCACAGATATTCATGCTTCTTAAAAATTCCTGATTTCGACCAAATAAACAAAAAATTGGCAGAAAAATTGACGTTTTGTTTGAGGGTGGTCGTCTTGTCAAAAACCCCGAAGTTACTTGGTCCGATCGAAGTATATCCCCGTTCATACGATAATCCAACTACCTGAAGGTCATCTCATGTATCTCGGAACATGCAGTTTTGCTGCAATGGCGGTTGGCTATAGCTGGACAAACTTCACCAGTTTAGCCAAATCGCTTGGATACTCACTTCGTTTGAACTTGTGAGACAATATTGAACATTTTAGCTCTCTACTGATACTAAAATGAAGTTTATTTGGAACTGGTCGGTATATTTTTAAACATTTTCTTTTTTTAGTGTTACCCCGCAAATTTTGTACGTGATTGAGTGCTGCTGGCTGGTTGGGGTATTTGAAAATGGCGGCTGTCTCATGCTCGAGGCTTTGCAAAATCTGCTTTGATTTCGTTGTTGTTGGCAGGGCTTGCTAGGGATGGAAAAATGACATTTGCACCGTTGAAGGCGAAGCCTACTTGTTTTAAGAGGACAGTCATTCTATTCATGGAGGTGAACGTCAATGGAAGGATGAAATTCAAGCTGTTTATGGGTCATGTGCTGCCCGTCTGTAGCTGTGGTGTACGCATGCCCAACCCTAAACTGATAGGTAGTGTTTGGTCTATTCCTGTGGAAGGACACATTTATTAACTAGTGTTGTCATTCACTGTAAATGAATCATCAAGAAGTACTACCATTCAAGAAGCGGCCAAAGAAGACGCAGACACTTTAGGGGTAACAGAGGCGGGATGAGTTGGGGGGTTGCAAGCCCCCCCCCCCGCAGACAAAATGGAACTACCAGCGAAATGACGGAAAATGAGTAGGCCTACCAAAAAATCCCGGACGAGGATTGCGCAGTGCATCCATCCATCTGTTGTTGAATAATTACATCGATTTCTGGTGGATCCCCTTAGCAAGGCATTAACCCCCCTCCCCCTGTTTCCTCAAAGGTAGATCTGTCCCTTGGTAAGTATTTTGCTTATTAAATCGCAGACAGCCTCGTTACATGTGTACAGCCTCGTTACGTCAAGCAGTTAGGCCTGTTGAGGAGGTCGGCACAACAGGACTTGTGAGCCAAACACATGTACTATTATGAGACCCAAAGGTTTTCGGAGCCCACAGTGTTTAGGTAGTCTCGGTGCTTGCCAACCTCGTACACACCTACCTTTCCTTTGCCCCCCAGCAGTTGGTCAGGGAGGAATCTCTTGGGAACGTGGGTGACCAGAACGCGAGGCGACTTCCAAGATGGCGCAGCCTTGTAGCGGGGGAGTCTACTGTCACCTGGTCTGACGTCAAACTCCAATGGCATCGGCTGCTGCGCTCTATCAACCTTATCCAAATCGCCATGATTAAAGATAAGGTGACAGATTTCAGCAACCCAGTGAGTACCTGAAAAGCGCCAAACCAGAATTATTCATGTTTATTTTCAGAAGGGCGGTATCCCCTATTACTATCGAGTCGAAAAAGGCTATATTTGAGCCTTGTTTTTCCTCTTCGCAAACCCCTTCCTTATCGAAAACTGTTTCTTGAAAATAAAAAAAAGAATATTAAGAAATACTGATTTCATTCGTATACACAAGAGGTTCAAACCCTGAAAATACATGCCCAAAACGACAAGTGAGAAGACAAAACAGAAATAATTGCTGGCATATAGTAAGTAAGCAGTAATTTCCAGAGACGATGGCGGCGAACTTTGTGCACATGCTTACAACACTACAACCGATTTAGCAGAAGTGACTCCTCATATATCGGTTGGAAAGAGGCATGTTGGTGGGGAGAGTTCACCCCACCGGAACACGCGCGTTTCAAAGTCTTTTGTGAACCAGCAAAGTGCAGTTCCCACAAAAGGAGCCTCCGTTGCTGGGAAAATGGCGCCCTCTGTCGGTCCAGCGTGGGGTTCATCGATATCCAGAGGTGCAATCCACCAACACCAACCCTAGGACTCAATAGCATGCATACCAACATCTCTGGGGTTTCTCAAGCAAGAATTATATTATAGGCCCCCTGCGTATGACATCACGTCAAAGGGCATTTCTTACTTCCTCTGGGATAGGCTGAGTAAACCTTTAGTGCTTTCATTGTAATTAAATTAAAATAACAAAGAATAGCCTCTGGCCCCGCCTGAACGCAAGGGTCTATTGTCTTGTCCCTTATCTTTAAATTTGTTTCACTTTTTGCGGATTAACCTATAAGTCTACATTTTTTATTATTCGGACAAAACAAAGTCACTACCAGAAAAGTGACTTTTCCCGAAGGCTGCATGCGGCCATTTCTCAAGTTTTTTCTCGGGCACTTTTAGAACCATTTTTCCACCGTGTTATTTATCCATTCTGCTCTCCAATGGAAGCCCAAAGAACCAGGAGTTAATCCTGGCAAAGATTTATACAAATCTTACCATACGGGGGCAAAATAATCTCCTTCAAAAGAAACTGTGAGGGGCACTTTTTATGCTAATGAGCAGGGCAGAAATTCCCACTTGAATTAGTAGACTGTATCTGGTTGCACATCAATTGCAAAAAAAAAATAATTCCCCAAACTAAAGACACTGTTGCCATACCTCGTGATTCGGGACAAGCGTTTGCATAGCGACCACCATCTTTGGAACGGACTGGTTCCTTGGGCCCTTCGTATCCATTGAAAACAGTGTTTCAATTAGTGCACAGTGTCTTTTTGCTCGTCGCCTTGCGCCCTGTTCAGGCGCTGGGAAGGGCTGAAGGCTTTGAATTGTGATTGGCTACATTGTGCACGACCTGCGACCACGAGGTTATCTTTTCCTGTTAACGAAGCGTTATTTAATTTTTTTGGTTCGCCAATGGCAATGCTTTGGCACGGGCAAATTGTCGGCTAAATTCAGAAAATGGCCTTAGTACAACCACAGTGTCGTAATTTATTGTCTAAGTATCACTGATCACGAATCTTTTGGCGATTTATTTCAAATGGTTATCTTGATCAATTTTGGATGGACGAGTAAAGTGTAGTGAGAATATTCAGCAATGAGGCTGAAAAAGAAGCCGCTTGTGTAACGCATTGAGCGAGCTTGCGCGCCTGGCAGAAATTTACCCACAATGGTCTGCGCATCGTTCGCTCTGACCCCGTGTGATGTATTTCCTTCACTAAAATCTGCGCAAGGCCATCAGCCCTTCCTAGCGGGGGACACTGTCTGGGCGCAAGCCGGTTATGGTCTGAATAATACAAAGTATAGCGTATAGCGCTTTGATCTTCAGTTAGTCGAGTGCAACGCAAAAACCCCTTTATTTTTGAATAGGACCTGCGGCGGTCTATGTCCGTGGTATGCAGCCCTGTACGTTTGAATTTACCGTCAGGCCTCCATGTACATGTACATCGTTCGACCCGAACGGTACATGTTCGTAGAGCGCTTTGGCAAATCTCTGGGTTAAATCTTTCGTTTTTGCATGTGACATTGGACTCATTAACCTGTGAGGTTGCATGCCTTATGCACTAAAGAGGGAGTCTTGTCGAGGGGCGTCGTTGTGGATTGTTGAACACTCAATCTGAATTAAGGAAGGAACAGAGATCAAGCAATCGTCGATGCATCTGTTCACTGTGTTGTGCTTCAAGTTCTAGGCACGTAGTTTCCACATGTACAGTACGTGCACTTCTCGTACCAGCCTGCACGTTCCACCATCATAGCCATGTCCAAGCAAGTTGCCGGCCAGGCACGTCATTGACAAAATGCTGCATGTTCAGAAACGTGTGCGTTTCATTTAAACTCCTCCATGCTTATTAACTGTTTTGTATTCGAATATCACGATTTTTGTTTAAAGCAAACTTGTTGATCAGGGTAAAAAAAATTGGGCTAACCTGTGCCAGTATTTCGATTCAGGTCAGATTTGTTCACTTAATGGCTTTAAATACAAAAAGCCAACAGAATGCAAAACAAAACTTTCATAAAATCTGTATTACCTACAACATTGTCACATTTGCAGTTGTGCATATGATGCACGTGCCAGCCAGGCCAGGCTAAAACTTCACATGTAATAGGCTTAGTACATGTATTGGGTTTACATTTAGCCTTTTGTCACAAAATTTAAAAAGCACAAATGATTGGTGATAAATTGTGCGTTGGTTTATGATTCGCTAGGGCATTGGTATAATTTATTCAGCGTGATTCTGTACATTTATTCATAATTGCTCTTAGGAATGACCAACCAGTAAAGGATTTATTTCATGCGCACAAATTAAAGCCACTTCTGAGTTGTGATGTTGACTTATTTTCAATGATAAAATGTCGAGTTTACATGGTCAAGTTTCCTGTTCTCAGTGAAGTTCACATGGGAGTGTATTACGGTCCAAGATCTTCCCACTTTTCCCGTTTTTCGGCATGACAGGAAGGCTGTGTTTTCAATGTTAACTTTTTTGTGGAGGTGTTGATATCGTACAGGTATTACGTTAGGTGTTGATTCAGTTATACATTTTCATGCATTTTCCAAGATATTTGTTACAGACATGAACATTTCATTGAATAAAACTTAATTTGACATCTAGGCTCTTCAGCGGTCATACATTTCCTCTTACTAATGCATCGTACATGTATTCCGAAGTACTCAAAACTTACTTTTCATGCACTCGCCTTACCTTGAAAATCCCACAGCTCCATTTCAACAAATTATTCATATATAAATTAAAAGGTTCTTTTGTATTGTTTCAGGCCTCCTTATTCATCACGGGGATCACATTCTATCCCAAGCTCTCCACAAAGCCAGCTCCTCTTGTGCAATGTACATGTACACACTCAAGTTCCAAGACAACCGAGATGACTGGATGCGTCTGCACGTACTTCTGACAAACGTGATAGAGATTTATCCATTGTCTGTTCCGGTTTGCATCTGCACCCCATGCGGCGTTCATAGACTACACGTCTTTAAAGCCAGACTGCATGGCCCCATGTAAATCTCAAGATGTAATACCCATAATGATGGACTTGCCCATATTCTGCCCACGTACTTTATAAGTGTCCATATACTGCTTTTCCACCTGGACCCCACTTAAGGCCCATTATGGATTTGCCCATATGCTGCTGTTCCATCTGGGCCCCCACGTAAGGCCCATTATGAGTTTGCCCATATGCTGCTGTTCCATATGGGCCCCATGTAATGCCCACATGGACTTGCCCATATTGTACCCATATGCCACTGACCCACCTCGGTCCCATATACATCCCATGAAATATGACCATATGGGTTTGCCCATATTCTGCCCGTGTAACGAATGGCCCATATGAGTATCACGGAGGCCCAAGTGGGCGAACATATGAGTCCCACATGGGGGCCCCCGACGGATTCTGCATCTAGAAATAACATGGGTTTGAAAATACCAGCCTTTTCAATACACATGCTCGATCACTTTTATGTTACGGATTGAGGAATTATTTACAAAGTCATGAAACGTAAAACTAGGAAAAGTTATCTGGCCTGGCCCATTGTTGAACCCATATGACTCTTGGGTGCAGAATCCTTGGGGCCCCCACACGGGACCTTGGACCTATTCGGTTCCCGTATGGGCTTGCTATGCTACCAAGGGAGTCGGCCAGCAACCATCAAAACATATGGAAAATCAAACTATCAAATAGTGGGTGCATTATGGAGAATAGACGTGCGCAAGTCACGTGGGAGTGCATGAACATAGCCATGTGCTTGTACATGTACACGATCTGGTAACACCGTGCACGACGAATACACTATCGGCTGTGTATGTATCGATACACACTGTTGTATATATTGTATTTCAGTGCGCCCAGATGGCGTCTCCCTTCCCTTCCCAGCACAGGCTGGTCCGGCGCTTGGGCGACGAGCGGAGGTATCTCTTACGAACTACGCAAAAGCTCGCCCCGAATCAGTGTCAGTGTTAGCAAGTGCCTTATTTAGGACGGAGATTTCAAACTACAAGTTCAACTGTATTAAAAGAACCCGAGTGTACCAGGGAGAATTTATTCAAATTTAACTCTCAACTGGCTTATTGGAAGGCATGTTACTCAGGATCAAGCAAAACCGGCGCGCTGTAAAAGCTGGATTGGGATGGGCGAAAAAAATGGGTAGACGGGACCAAACTTACTCGCTGCAGCATGGACCAAACAATCCCCGCTTTTTGACGCTTTGATATCCTGACGGTGGAAATCCCGTTCAAAGGTCATTACATAGAGAGGACCGCAGTGGAAATAAGCGCCTTATAGATTCTTTTGTGCTATCCTCGACAATGCTCTGGAGTTAAATGTAGTCCCTTTTATTTTGAGTTAATTCCGCTGCTTGCGTGTGATCATTTTGTAATCTGTATGGGTGTTGTCAAGTAAAAATAAACGACAATCAAACAGAGGAAGGGGTTTCACAGTGATGGCATCGTGAAGGAGTTTCCTACCGTACCTGCTTTGGGCCATGTTGCGATCCACACGTCATCGTCTCTTACATCGAAATTTTTCACGGCGTTTAAGGCTTGCTCTGTCACTAAATCGGTCCACCACACGCCCTGTAGGAACACATCGCCGTGCTTGCTTGGTACCTTCGCCTGCAGTGAAGACATATTGACGACTGGGAGGGCCACCAGCATCATGCAGCTAACAAAATGCCTCTGCGCTGCGTACGCCCTTCATGTGCTCCAATAATGTACTGAATAGGCTCTATGTTCCCCCCCCCCCAAAAAAAGCTTTTTACCACTTGTCATATTCACACTAGACTTAATTCCAGTCTGTTCCCTCTCGCTGCACACGATTTCCCCTCATAGATTGGCGTAAACTAGGTCGGGGGCGTGCCCCTCCGAGGGATGCCTGTGCTCCCCCTCTGCCCCTTGAAATATGTGAATAATCTCCATTGCGTTTGATTAGCTATGTAGATACAGCATATTTTCTTGTGGTACCCCTTTGAGAAAAAGTGTGCACCCTGGGTCCCCCCGGACGATTTAGCCCAAGTTACGCCACTGAATGTTCCGGTAACCTATCGGAAGCAAAATGCGAACCTATGACCAGCTGCATCCCACACTTATACAGGGTTACAGACGCAGTTGTCGGGTCTCTCGGGTCTGCACAGAGACATAACGGATCTTATTACTGTAAATACTTGTCCACACATTCACCTGCCGTTGGTTAATCAGCATCGATATACCAGGCACGACAGAGACCAGACAGAAAGGTAACCCCCCCCCAACAAGTCCAATCCCTATACACACTCCAGCCTATTGTTACTTAACACACCCCTCCAGATGTCTGAAAAGAATTCCTGTGATACCAGTATAACAATGACCAACACAAAGGCCGGGGAGGGGTTCTCTCTGTCCCATGTTTTGCATCAAACGTGCATCGAGGAGAAGTCAAATCTGTAATACCCAACAAGCTGTGAGAGCGACTGAAGGGTACCCCCCCTTATACATGTATACATGTCCAATCCCTATACACACTCAAGACGATTGTAACCTATAAACACATCCCCCAGATGTCTGTATAGTTCCTGAGATTCTGATAAACAGTGACCAACACAAAGGTGGGGGTACTCTACATCCCATATCTTCATTCATATGAAATCTGTCTTTTGTTAACTTTGGACCACCGACCATGTCCTTGTAGAGCTTGCTCAATTGAAACCAGCTGCTCGTTGTTTGATGAAGTGCTGCCCGGGCCAAGCATTCCAGGGTTAACGTTACTTTAAAGGGACATTGCCTGGCCACCAAACTTACATATATGTAAAATCCTACTTCCCCCCCCCCTTCCTTGTGTTTAGTTATCCGGTATGTTCTATATTCATGTCTGTGGATGTCGGTGTACTTCTTGATGATGTTTCTTTTTTCTATGTCATTTTGATACTTGTTTTTTTGATTGATATAAGATTGATTGCATGTTTTTAATGTATATGTATCACTGTAGTTATACAAGATGATTTCAGTGATGTTCCCGTTTTGATGTTTCTAAATGTATAAAACGATTGTTTTGTAATGACTGTGTAATTCAGCCGTATGGCTGCAAAACGGCAAAATGTAATAAACCATATTATAGAAGAAAACCTTGCAGCGGTCACAGAGGCATATATAAAAACTGGAAAATGTTTAAACTGACACGCATTTTTATGTTGTTAACAGGAGTTGCATGACCCTGCAGAATCTCCTGCCGAATTACGGCAGCTGAAAATTGGCCAGAAATACATCATAACCTAACATAATCTCAGTGTCGACACAATCCTCGATCTTCAAATTAAACATCTTATCTTGGGACGTGTTTAGCCGATTTCCTTCAGTTTTGGAGTTTTAGTAAAATGCCGACGGCTCTTTCACCCTATAAATCTCAGAGCATAGTCAATGAGGGCTAATGAATAGAGGGCCTGTGTGGAGCGCCCTCCCAGAGGACACGTTTTTGTTTTATTTAGATTTAATGATAATGAATACACAAAAAGATTTACTCGAGCCTATCCCAGAGGAGAAAGAAATGCCCTCTAACGTGACGTCATACGCACGGGATCTATTAGATTTTTCATAAACATCACTTACACCTTGATTAAAAGAATTAGGGTCTCTTAAATACATGGTTAAATCCAAAATTCACTTTTACCTCGTCTTAATTATAAACAAAGGTCGCTAAAAATAGCATTTTACCTTTGGTTTGGAAAAAAAAAGGTCCCTTAAAGTTTTCACACGTGGAGAGGCTTTAAACCCGAGGGATGGGTTATCAGCTTAACCTAGCGGTGTTGATGAACTCACCGCATGTGGCCATGGAGAGGAGAAAGGATTGGGCTTTATGTTCAGTGTTGCGCGTGATAAATATCGGGCGGCGCACAACGATTGCTCTGACCACGCGCATGCTCCAACAGTGCAGAGTTCGCGCCCAGGGATTAAAAAAAAAATGCATGTACCGTTGTCGTTTGCTCGACACAATTAGGCTCGCATGCGCACAAATGGCTTTGGCGGCAAGAAGTGATGAGCCGGCCACTGAAAACGTACAGGGGTGCGATTATGATAATTTTCTCTCAGGTTTTCTGTCTTTGTTCAGTTGTTTTCTTCCGAATATCCCACTAAATCGTTTTTGCTTTTAGTTTCTAATCGAAGCGAGATTTTTAGTACTCTGTAAAAAGATTTTACAATCGTGATTTTTCCTGTGCGCACAAGATTGCCCTATCTAAGCCGGTCTCAAAAACGATTACAAGGAGAAAAAACACTCTTTGAGCCAGTTAGCAGTGAATTCAATAATCAGCTCTTTATCTGAAGGTATAATCTACAAGCTTACCACCAGTATTCAGGTAGGATGACTATTATCTTCCAAAACGTGAATTTCTGGGCCAGAACGAAAGATCATATAGCGCCGCGAAGCGGTGCAAGATGGCGAACTTCACCGTAAATACAAGTAAAACGTTGTAATCGCACAGGCGCCATTTGAGCAATCGATACGCCTGCGCAATGCACATTAATGCACAGGCGCAGGCGCCACGGAAGGCACGTGCACCTGGTGAGCCTGTGCCCAAGCGTTACCGTAAACTGCGCGGGGGTATCGCTTACTCAAATGCCGCCCATCTTTAAAACCCTGTTCCCCTACACGAGCACCGTAATGATGGTCTTTCTATAAGTACTCGAGACTGCAAGACCAAAGCTCGATTTCATGTGCCCACATTTCTTCTATCGTAAAATTAATGACGAATTCAAATCAACTGTTGCAGAGATGCACATTATTTCACTATTTCCTCGGGCGGACCCTCTTCCTTGCTCCACCTGATCATGCATTCCAATGCATAGTAGAAGACCAGCGACACGACCAGGAGACCCGCCAGTCCGACGATCTTGTGATGGACGCAGACAGACGGTGAGGTAGACACGGCAAACATGACGCCGTTCCCCACGGCCTGGCAGAGGCGAAAATTCGCGTAGGCAGGAGCTAGATTCTCGGTGAATGTGACGCCCAGCAAGGCTACAAGGAGAAAAGAAACAATTCGACTCTCGGTTACCAACTGGAATAGTGTCAGGTTATATAATTTTAACGTTTTTTCACAGTCTTGTACATGTACATGTATTCTGCATTGTTCCGAATCCTTCCTTTATGTTCGAACGTACCGCAAGTTGTCGGTAAATTGGTATCTTCAGATGTTGCAGCATTGTATTTCGGAAAGTACCTGTTTTCAACGTTCAAAGTCTCTCTATTTGCCCAAACCAAGTCGCCAAATATCGGCAGCTGTTGCAATAAGCCTTTTGCGAGTTAAATTTGAATAAATTCTGGAACACTGAGTTGCACTGTTCAAATATGAACATAATTTGAATGCTCCATACTAAAGATACTGTTGCTATATACCTCCTGATTCGGGGCAAGCTTTTGTTTTACACAGGAGACGCCTTGCACCAATACACTGTTCTCAATGAATAAGAAGGGCATAAAGGAACCAGTCCATTCCAGAGATGATGGTCGCTATGCAAAGGCTTGCCCCGAATCACGAGGTATGGCAACAGTGTCTTTAGTCTGGGGAATTCAACTTTTTATGCTTAAGTGCAATCAGATGACTCAGTATACCAATTTTTTTTTTTCAAATTTAACACCCCAAAGGCTTGTTAGTCCAAAAGGTACCGTAATAGGCCTCGTCTATGCATAGAACCTTGACTGATTTCCGTACAACACTCGAACCTCATTGAAAAAAGGGGTCCTTCTAGTTTAGCAGATTCCCTTGTTTAATCAGGACTCTTGTATTACCAGGAATGAACATAATGAAGAACAAAGGATTGGGACCTTAAAAACTCCTTGTCACAAGCAGAAAGTTGTGTTAACCGGTCCTATTCAAGGCGTTCGACTGCACTAAGAAAATGAGATGAGTATGATGCTGAACAGAGAGCTTACACGCAATCTGCGTCTGCCACACCGAGTCCCCGAATCCCCAGACGCCGGCTGCGAGGAACAGCGCCCAGAGGTTGTGGTGCTGTGGGGGCCAGACGAACCACATCACAGAAACGAAGACCAAGTCGGCGCACGCCCCAGCTGTGAAGAGCATGACCCTGCCCACGTACCTCTGGAGCCGCGTCAGCACCAGGCAGCACAAGGCGTCCGTGACGCCGTACGTCATCATGACGAAACCCACGTAGTGGATGCCTTGAGTGCAAGTCACAAAGGCCTGAAATAAATGGGGGGGAGACGACACAAAAGCCACTTCCTCTCTCAAAAATTACTCTTTTCATCATCGGTTTCCACGGTAACTTTCGGTACATGTCTGACCAGTAAATCATTATTGCAACGAGCCTTGTGTAAGAGGAAGAAGGCACTCGGGTATCAAAATGTGAACGCCCTCATCATTGCGTTTTGTAAGACCATCGAAAATTTTTAGTCAACGAAGTAACTGTTTTAAAGATAGAAATCAAAGTGGTATACCCTTAAATAACATATTGTTGAATTCATCACCTTTGTGAAGTCGTCCGCTATGAACCCTTTCTGAACTCCGCTGTAGATCATCAGCGGAAGGAACAAGAGCATCCGTCGGTCCTTCAACGCCAGGCGGAGAGTGGCAGTCATCCTGCCGCAAGCCGAGCCTGACTGGGTCAGAGCGGCGCTCGCGTCCAACCGGTCCAGAAAGATCAAGATAAGGACCACGCCGACGACGTTGCAGGCGAGGTAGACGGAGAAGAGGGTGTACAGCGTGGTCTGGGCCGGTCTGGGCGGTGGGCCGGCCGGATCGACGAAGGCGCCGCAGGAGTGGACGCCGCAGTACTGGGACAGGTTGGCGTCCGGCAACATCCCCGTGGTGTTGGGGTACAGGACCAGGGACGCGATGAGATTCCCGCTGATCTGGGCGCTCTGGAAGAAGAAGTAGAAGATGCCGTTGAACCGGTTGATGACGACTTCGGTCGGCAGACCGGCCAGGCTGGCGTAGCTGGCCGCAGACGTGGCGAGGTAGGTGCCCTCCGAGGTCCACATGGGATTAGACACCAGCCCCATCAAAGTCCCCGCCGGGATGAGAGTGTAGAATCGCGGGTAGAAATTACTCGCCGTGTAGACGCTGTAACAGCTCATGCAGAGGAGGATGGTCCGTTTAGGGCCAAGGGCCTTCACGACCAAGGGGGCGTAGAAGCCAGAGACGATACTGCCGGCGTAAAGAGCAGCGATGGAGGCCACGCCCAGACCCTCCTGGGGGTTCAAACTGCTCTGTAGGTTCTGGAACGACGCCACGGCGGTGAAATTAAACAGCCAGGCTAGGCAGATGGTAAGGACGTTCTTCCAGTGACGGCGCCGCGACTGCGTGGCGGCATCCGAAGCGGGTAGCGAAGGTTCTGGTACCCACTCGGCATGCTTTGAATTAACTGAATTTACGGATGGCGTGACTGACGAAGGTGTCTCGGCCTGGACAAGAGGCGATTTCTCGGTACGCATTCCGCCGCACTGCTCTGCTAATGGTAACTAAATTCCGTTGTCTGTCGGCGATTTCAGTGATCCCTCGAACTCAAAACTTTTTTACTGACTAATTGTGGTACCGAGCAGCGACAGATCTACTACCGGTCACAGTGATGCCTCAATGAAAATTGTGCCCGTGCTTCCTCGTGATAACAAAGCAAAGGTTTATAATCTAGTCACAGTGCACGTGAGTCGTTGACCTTCAACCCCAACTAAGATTCACATCGGCGAAGCCAAAGTCTACAAACCTTTGTGCGTCAACAAGACCTCTATCCAACGCACAAGTCACCGCCGCAACTTGGGCCTACCACACACACGACGAGGGCAGCGCGGTCGCCACACGTCGGTCGGATTAGGTTTCATTATTGAGTTCAGGCGATGGCAGCTCTGTGTGATTAACTGGTTGACATGCGAATGCAAACAGCGGAAAAAGAAAAACCAAAAGGAATTCTTGATCACACGCTTATCAAGTTCGCAGGCGCCGAAAAATCTTTTTCAGTACCTTAAAACCACAGCTTGTTTGCCTATATCCCTATCCGCCCCGAGCTGAAGTGCGCCCCCAATCGGCAAAAGAAAGACGGGTGGTTACATACGGGTTCTTGCACACGTTCTGCGTGTACGCAAGGACCATACGTGCCAACATAAATTACTTACGCGTACTTAGCATGCTCCGCGTCAAACGCGCATAATTGCGCGCCTCATGGCGCGTCTTGGCGGTGAGTACCAAAAGCACGCCCTCTTTTGTTCCGCTTGGAGTGGATTAGGGTAGAAATCTATCCACGATGAAACACATCACAATTAAAAAGGCCTCAACTCAGTGGCATTAAATACTTTACGCAAAACAAACACAAAATTCACAAAACGGTCCTCAACTAAGGCAAGACGAAGGAACAAGCAATAAGTGAATAAATTCGTGTCAAAGTCACTTAATAGCAGGTGGGCTATTCAGGGTTAATCGTTCAAAAATAATGATTGTTATTAAAATATTGTATACTTTATTTCACTTGAATCCACAATAACCAATAAATCTGTGAGAGTCAAACACGGGTACAACTAAAAGAGACACAAATTTCAGAAATATTTGAAAACCATATTCTTCCAATTTCGTCTCGGAGAATGTCGAACGACCGGTGCTTTTCATTTGCTATACTGGATGAAAGACCCATACACATGGCCATTGCCACGGGAGAGGGGGAGCTTCCCCCTCCCCACCCCCATCCCCCCCAAAAAAATGAAGAAAGAAATATGAGAGAGAAATAAGTGCAAAAGAAATGTGGGAAAAAGAGATGACTGGGGATGAAAATCACCAATATGCTTGACCCAACCCCCCAATTTAAAATTGAACCCCCACACACTACTGTATAACTCTTACGACTTCATCAGTTTGTTGGTGACAGGTGCTTTGCCCCTCCCCCTTGACACCCCCCAAAATGCTTTGCACCGCCCCACCCCACCTCACCACCCTACACCCCCCCCCCAAAAAAAATCCTGACAATGCCCATGCCTATAGAAATTAAAACCGTGGGAAATAAAGACAACTCTATACGACATGTCCAAATGACTTGGGTGCAGCTTGAAATTAGGCATGAGTATGGCTCTGGCTGCAGCCACTCTCCATACGGTCGTGTGTGATGTCAAGCCGTAGCCACATAAGTTGGACAGGGCCTCACTCTGGAAATTCTTCTGAGCCCTTATAGGAGGATATTCATAAAGCACCTGGACAGAATTTCGAAGATGCTTCACATTGTCGAATATTAAATGACAATTTGAAAAGAAAAAAGCCGGTGCTGATAAAAAGTACGCCACCACAGACTGGACAGGACTACTGTCAAGCATCAACTCAAGACCTTTTCAGTCAAAATTACAACCATTAACAGTTTTCATAAAATAACACATCTTTCACGATAGTGCAACACACTTAAAATCGGTCTAGGCATTAACTACATGATATATTACATGTATACTCGTGATAAAAAATATAAACAATTCTTCACTCCCTTTGGTTAAGCTGAGTTTTGGAGTGAAAAGGATAAAATTTTAGAAATGTTTCTTTTAATAATCCCAGAGGTAAAACAGTGGAATACATGTACTTTCTCCAGCCACTCATTTCTGGTCACTACAAACTCTTCCAGTGTCTTCATACTGGTTTTTAAGAACTACAAAATGAAAAGGTTTGCTTCATAAACCCTCATCACTTGTCTCTTTTTAAACAGACGGACCATTTTCGTTCTTTAGTTTTGCAAAGGCAACAATAAGGGCACAATACAAGCTATTTCAACAATTGATGGAAACGGGTCTGAAATGGGTCTGCGTACGTATAAAAACTTCACTTGGGCCTTCATCCCCATTTGGGCAGAATTATCGACGGCTCGACAATTGGCAAAGTACACGGGACATCCACAGTCATGCAGCTAATAAGCTCCGTGATCCATGGCAAAATGCACAAGGGGCGTGATGTTTTTAAGCTATCAGAGTATGCATGGGGTAGGCCCCCCCTCCCTCCTTCCTTCCCCCGCCCATTCTTGGGGGATGCAAACTATCTGGAGGATTTACCTGCAGCCCTCAACGGACCGTCACTACTACTGACCGAGGGCTAGACCCGGGGGTTATCACAGGCTGAGGCTGGGACAAGCTATGATGGATAAGACCTCGTCAGGCAGCGAAGACATGGATCATCTCGTCTGTGTACCCATGGGCCTTGGACAACCTAGGAAGTGTGAGAACGTCAGGCGTTTATTAAATCAACGGGAAATGACCCTGAAACTTATTCAGCGGGGGAACGGCTGAAGAGAGGAAAGGGGCAGGATGATAGTGATGATTATGATGATCTAAAAACTGCTCCCTTGATTTGCCAAATTAGGGGAACAGGTTGGGGGGGAGATCACCAGCCCACGGAAAAACTTTTGGAGAACTTCATTTCCGAACCTTTATGAAAACATATGCTGAGGAGTGGAAATGGACAGAGAAAAATTTTACATCATGGCTGTGTTCTAGAAAACTGATGCTTGAATAATCAGGGGGTGGGATTTGATGTCAGTTTGGTGTAAACTTGGTTGAAATAGAAACGACAGAGTTTTTGCCGTAACAGAAGGAGGAAACGTTGATGGTAAGACCGAGGTGGTCTTCGGTCTTACTTGAAGGCAAGTTGGGTGAAGGGCGTGGGGCCACATATACAGGTCAGGAATCTCTCGTTGGGGTGCCGGGCGGGCCGCCAGAACAAATCCTCCACCAGCTCCTCCCGGATCCGCCCCTTGGGCCCCGCCCATCCCTGGTCGGGCTCCGACAGGACGTGAACCACCTCGAGGCTGCGCCGCCTGGTCTCGGCAAGTTTGGCCAGGTCATCCCTCCAGGGTATGTCCGCCTCCGTCTTGTTGAAGAAAATTAGCTTGACGCGTCTGAAGAACAAAAACGACAAAACAAATCAGGCTTCACGTTAAAATAATAAAAAAGTGGTCTGCAAAAGGTTTCCCAACGACACAAGCATACAAGTCCATGCAGGGACGTCGTGGGTGTGGGGAGGGCCAAGGGCTCACCTGCTTCCTGCGCAAGTGGGTGGAAAAATAAAGGCACAAAACAAAGAAAAGACAAAGGGGTAGAAATTAAAACCAAAAAAAAAAACCCCGGGATAAAAAGCATGAATGTGCTTGAAAAGTATCTCGGTATTCGCCCACTCACTCCTTTGGTGTCAGTCTCAGTTTGCTGCCGATGAGTGCTTGGCTTTCCCCCCCCCCTCCCGGTAAAACATCTTGCAATGCCCTTTGCATCCGTGAGCTGTGGCTACAGCCGCTGGCTGGTGGTTTCTTCCAAGTCTCCAACAACAGCTAGCCACAGCCATGACTTTTTGGACGAAGCCTTACTTGGGTCTCTGCCGCTGCTCTCCCAGACTCCACTGAAGCAGCTTCACCATCGGGGTGAACCCCGTGCCAGCCGCCACCAGGGTCAGACGGTCGGCCTGGTGGAGGCGGGAGTCCACGAAGCTCCCTTCGTAGTCACTGACATCGACGGTGTCGCCAACCACGAGTCGCGCCAGGCACTGTGTCAGTTGGCCGCTGGGGTAGATCTTGATCATGAGATGGATGACCCGGCCTGTTGCCTCAAGTGACGGCTGGCTATATGCAAGCACGGATGGTGTTATGGCTGTATAAGGACGGCTGAGCTCATTACCTCCAAGAAAAAAAAAGCACCTTTCATAATAAACTCTACAGATTTACTCTAGTACCTTATCAATGAATTCCATGCATGAATCCATCGATTGACTTCAATAATAAACCAGTTCTTCAAGCAGTCCGGCTGTCAAAATTTAGTTTGCAAAACTTTGCAACTTCTCTAGCAAGTCATTTCAACAGCAAATTAAATGCTCAAAATCAAGTGCACCATGGGTCTTTCAAGAGCACCGAAACCTGCCTGCAAGGTCGGCCCATCAGCAAAGCCATAAGCCTGGACATGTTTCAGCTGACGGGACATCAGTGGCTTTATTCACGCATGACCTTGCCTTTTTGAAACACCCAAACTGGCTCGAAGGGCATTTGCTGACAACACTCTATGGCTTACCATCAGCACGGACTCGGAGGTGGACGTGATAACCCATAGGCAGACACATCCGACAACCCGCGGGCAACTCAAGACCAAAAAGCTTGATGTCATGAGTCAAAGGTTGACAGCTAACAACCTTACAACGTCGAAACACTGGCTCTAGAACAAACAAATAAATAAATAACATAATGCATACAAATCATTACTGTTTACTTGTGTAGAAAATCTTCAATGAAACCCAAAACAGGAGAAGTCAGAAAAAACTTTCACACTTCAGACGTGTTAGAAAGCTCTTATGAAATCAGGGTTCATTTTTTAAATCAAATGTATCGACAGGTGTATGATTACCTTTGTCAATTCTTGGGACTAAGGAGTTGTTTCCCTCGAGAGCTTTTCCCAGGGAAGCCCACTTGACCTCTGGATTTTTCTTGTTGACAACAAAGATGACCCGGTGAATAGGACCAGCAATCACTCTGATACCTTGAAGGAAGAAGGTATCAGACTAAAATTAGACCAATTCAAGCACTGCTCAATTGACCTTTGCTCTTCACTACTTCACCGAGATGACAAAAACGACAAAACTCAACTGACCCTAAAATCACGGGCTTCTAAATCACTAGAAACCCCTAATTTTATACAACAATTTCTCTGTTTCTGAACTTGCACGTGGGGATCATGCAAAATTTTCTAGAGTCTCGGGTTGCTTCTGAAGGATCTAGAAAGGTTTAATGATTACAGTTCGATCCTTCAGGTATGACAACAGAAAGGTATGATCTGTCATACAGATAACACAAGGAACAAATACTGTGAGAAATGGAAGCTTTCGGAGTCATCTACTGACCTTCGTAGTTACTTGTCACATCCTCGAACAAATCTGGCAAAAAAATGTTCACAGTGGCAAAGATTAATGTATTATTAGTTGATGGATGACATCAACTAAAGGTGAGGGTTTAAGGCAATGACAGTAGGAAATACTTTGCAAAGACTTGTTCGGAACACTGGTATGGAATACTGAAGTGCGACGTCATTTTGACGGGGGAGCGTTGTGCAAATGGGTGGAGTGCGCGCGTGTGTTGGTCCTCGTGCTGGTTCTCGCGCTAACGTCTATCACAAGCAAAATTGAGCGCGTGACATGTTCACTTTGGTACTCTATTCCGGGAGAAGGTACGAGTACGAGTTGAGAATGAGACAAGAACTCACCGACATGCACCGTGTAGACATGATCGTCTAGGAACAGGGTCACCCGCAGGTCACGATGCTCCCTGTCAATCACCAAATGCTCTGTGGACACACACTGGCGGGAAAGAGGGACATCAGAACTAAACCTGAATCCAAATTTGATCCCGAGTAAAACAAAAAGATGCTACCCGAGAGGCATCTCAGAACTCTAAACCTGCAAGCTCAGGGCATCCGTTCTGAATTGCGTGGTTCTTATTTCCCTTATTTTTGGCTCCGAATGAGAGAAGACACCTTTTCTATGCCGCCGACCCTGTCTAGAAATTCCTGAGTCTCTAATTCCTTGGTTTGTGATGTTCTTACCTTGCATTTTGCATAAATTGTGACGGTTATCTTTCCACTATTCTGGTACCAGTCATACCTGAAATTAAACCAAAACAAAAGCAGATCAAGGTCTGTAAGCAACGGCCAGTTGACTCCGACTTGGCCGGTGGCTTGAAAATGCAAATCGCTTGCCCTTGTTATTAGACCTGACCATACAGCGCCCTCGTTCAGTCATGCAGAGAGTCCACAGCCCACTTACCTTGCCTTAGGCTTCTGGCTATCAAGAGGTTCCAAATCTACAGAGGCGGGTTGAGTTCCTAGAAATAAAGAGTGTAACAGAGAGAGAGAAGATGGCAGCTTGTTCAGAGAGGAACTACTGATAGTGATCGGGGATGATAAAAGTTCCCACAAGATGAGCCAATGAAGGCAAATTTCCTAAGTTTGTTGTGAAACAAGAAGTAAGATATTTATATTTATTTTGAAATTTAATTCCAAATTTATTTTCAACAGTTGACACAAAGATATTTCATAACATGGCCGATATGACTGAACTTTGGAAAAACACATAAACTGCGATGCTGCTTTAGAACTAGGGCTTCAGAAAATGTGTGGAATAAAAAGAAACCCCACTCAGGACTGTGGAGTGTGATGCAAGTAAGTTAAATGTGTATTTTAAGACTGAGCCCGAATGACTTGGCTATGGCTAGCCACATCATGCACATCTGGAGGAGCCGCCAGCTAATGGCTACATCCAATGCCCATAGACACGTGTGCTCTTGCTAGCCATGGTCACACAATTTGACAAGGTTTCCACAGGATTTCTCAGGGACTGTGAACGGTAACTGACTTCAGAGGTAGCCATCTTGCGGGGCAGTTGTTTTGTTCCACATGGAAACCTCCTTTGTGCATACCCTGTGGAAAAAGAGCACTGGCCAGCAACATGGCAACCACGCAAACCCTCTATTCCTAACCTGTATTGACTGGAGCTGGGGGTGCAAGTGTTGACGCCGACGGGGCCCTCAATTCCCCCATTCTCTTTATAACACCTACGCAATCGACAAAAGAATCCAATTGTCAAAGAAATCATTTCAATCAATCGATAAATCATCAACAGGTGCGGATTTTTTGGAGGTGGTGCAATTTAAAGCATTCTGAGGAATACCCGACAACTGTTCCTTTACGTCAGCTTCCCTTCTAAGCTTTTCTTCTGATGGAGTGAAAATTCCTCTACCTTACAGCTCGGCACTGCAGAATTTGGAGCATTTCTTATTGGCGCAACCTTTCCTTTTCCTCACCAGAGAGGGCGCACTTGTGCACAAAGTTCGTATCAAGGGAAGGACTTACTGAACTACACGTACCTTTGCTGCTTGGCTTGCTGAGGTCAATGCTCTTTTTCAGGGGACCAACGTAGCATTTCTCCAGCATGGACTCCACATTCACCCACTGGTGAACCTACAAGAACCAAAACGAGCACCCTACCATTACCCGCGGGTATGATTCTCATGGGACAGTGATCACTTGTCAGGCTTCAATACGGACGATTCACAAGGGTGCCCCCTATGAATTTGTAACACGTTAGCCAATCACAATGCGCGAAATCTAGTCGACCCAATGCGCCTTTGGAAAGGCTCGACAAATTTTGCTTACTTGCATATCTGGACCTTTAGTGGCTAAAATTACACAATACCCCTTCTCGGTGGATAAACAAGGAATTGAAAGGGCCTGGGTTTTGCATTGGAATACGGTCAATGCTGTCTTTCAGATGGTTGTTTTGCTTTCTTATAAAACTGTTTCATGTATCAAAGTGCTTTTTGTTGTCTACATGAGTAAGAACGTGTACATGTATGTGTACATGTATATATGCAAATTCCTGATCTTCCTTGAATATTGAATTCTGATTGTCATTACTGAATATTTGCAAGTGATCCAACACCAAGAAACATTTCACACTTGTCAACAGGTCTGCAGGTTGTGACTTGAGCACACAAGTGGAATATTCTGAGTTCTTACAAAGTTGTCGTCTCTTTTGGCAGTGACAAATGGGTCGAACAAAATTTTGACCTGTCAGTTTTGACATTAAAATCGACGTCGATCTTTATCAAATCTACTCTATGGTCCCAACCCAGTTCTACAGCCTCCACGCTGATACACATGAAGAACGAGTTGCAGTGCTCAAGGCAAGGCAGAAATGTAAAACCTTCATGATGGTAACTCACTCGTCCCTTGTACCGTATTTGAAGCCACAAACACTCTTAAACTTTACATGCTCTACGACCTACACTGCACTGTCTCCCTTGCAGGTCCGTCAAAAAACCTTCATTCAATAATGCCCCCACAGTTAGACTTGGTATCTCTTGGTCCCTAGTCGAGTAGCCAAATAGATCAAGTCTATCTAACTCTATGCACTCTGTAGTTTCTCATCTACATGTACATAAACTTCGTGACGATGTTGTCATGATTGTAACTGAGCACACGAGGAAGACTTACATCGTCGAACAAGCTCGTTCCGTCTCCACCGACCCCTCGCATCATCTCGTCTTCTCCCCCGGGATGGAAGCTCATGTAAGGCGTGACGTTGTACACCTTGCCTGCAAAAAGAGTGGAACCCCAGTCGGGCAGATACTATTATGCCCATAAGGAAATCAGACTGGCGTCACGGCTGAAGAAAACACTTTTGGGCGAGCAAAAAAAAACTTAAAAGCATCACTCGGTGTCTGCAAGCTTGCTTGCTGCAGGGCTGATGCAGAAGTTACGTCCAAGCATGTTGCGTATGCTTTGTGCATGCATATAATTATGTAACCCCTCAAAGTTAGAAATGGCAATGAATGCGAACATTTGAAGAACATTCCGAGCAATATTTGCTATGTCCCTATGCCGGAGTACATTTGTAACAGGAAGTTGATAGGTGTATGTGCAGATTCAGACGGAAATTGGAGGTGTGTCCTCCACACTATACAAGTATGCAATATGGGGAGCGTGCAATCCGTCCTTTACCACCTGTACCTCTAGGCAGAGTGCAAACTGCATAGATCGGCTACCATTTAGGATTATGGGTGACCTCACCTCTGATGCTCATCCAGGCGTCGTCCACTTTGTTGTGCCGGGCCAGCTCGTCCACGCTGACGTGCCTGACCTGCCCACCCACCCCGTTCAGCTTGCGGCCCTCCCTTTGCCCCAGCCGGATCCAGTCCATCAGGGAGTGGCCCGGGGCCAGGGCCACCTTCCGGGTGCCATTGGAGGAGGCATTACCGCCGCCGCCGCCGGCGGCACGCTGGGGGGAGTTGAGGGAGGGAAACTGGGGCTTGGGCACCTGCAAGCCGCCTCCTGAGCTCAGCATGCTGGTATCTACTTGTCTGACGGGACAACGCACACGATCAGTGAAGTGTTGCCGTCCTAAAGGACGAGCATGAACTGCAAGAGACAAAGGACAATTAAACTCAACAAATCTGCGGGATGTTTGCAGGTCGTCATTTGACATTCTTCTTTATGCAACAACTGTGGCACAATTATCAAAGTGAAGAAGGGGGGTCAGTCGTTGGACCTGCCAGAAGTGGGGGGAGGGCATTCCTGCCAGTCAAAAAAGTTACCAGGAGCAGATCCAGAGGGGACGGAAACTCTTAAAAAAAACCAAAAATACAAACAAAATTGGGAAAATAATAAAAATAACTCAAGTACGTGCACCAATATCATTGTAAACGAGGGGTGTACATCATGTAATGTTTCATTACCATTTCCGCTTGTCCGCAAAAAATGAGACCATAAACAAAATTCCGGCCTGACCCCCCCTGGAAACTTCCTGTATCTGCCCTTAGATACATATACATGTACCCCTCCCCCTTCTGCCAATGTCCACATCGAGTATCGGATGTGAGGAGTGCGCTCAACAGCTGTGCACTGCATTTCTGCACTGTTTCAATTGCTCGTCTTCCCGTCAACAGCTACACGGTGACCACATGGACATGATGGATATTTTCTTCTGTACACATGTACACTGTACATGTGAACATGATGAATAAGATGTACTCTTTGAATAGTGTAAATGGTTGTGATTTTGAATTGATGTATTTAAGATTTCGTAAGGTTTTATCTTATGTTTACTAATTAACTGATACTTGGTTCTTATTGCATGTTTTACGATTCTCTTGTAAAGCGTTTTTAGATTTTTATAATGGAAGATCCCAATCACAGCCAAGCTGCCATCTCACGACACAAACCTCATAAACAAGAGTATGCACCTGTAACACACTGTATCCTTCAGACTAATACTTACATACATCTAGAGAGCAACATGTACCCGCACAAGGAGCTTCTATACGATCGAATGCACTCCCTTTCAAACTTTTCGGTGCAGAATTACACAATTTATCACGTGATCTGATAATACATGTACATATTCACACCTCTGCAGTGCAACGGAAATTCTGCCAATTCCATGGCCGCCCCACCCATGTTATGTACAATGACCTCGCAAGAGAACCCTTGTCAAAATAACAAGCTGACCTCGAGATGAATTTCCGTCTATTTGACAGCTCGCCTGGAAATTTGATTTTGCTGGCTTAACAAATAATACATCTTTAGGCACACACTGCTGAGTTCGCACTGAAGGCGCTGTTGCATGTAATAGGGGTGCTGTGTGCCATGTACATTGTATCATTTGAACCCTAGTCGGCCCATACAAAGGCCAACATGTACATGTACGTACATGTACACAGATGTGTACCTCCATGCTTGTCAAGAGAATCTTTTTTTTTTTTACATGTTTTTGTTCCTTGGGCCTTTTTACACATCTACAGTAAGGGCATCCTTAATGTGATTTTCATTTCCAAACTGACACAAAGATGTGGAGATTGTGTTTACATAAGTACAGCCAGTCAGCATCGGATTTTCTTACCTGAAAAAGCTACTGGGGGTGGGTTCGTTTTACCCACAAATTCTTTAACCTTGCAATTGCACTTTGACCCAACAAAGCACGACGAATTACAACGTCAACCGCAGAAATAAAAAAAGAATTCTTGTACAAGAGTACATGTCCCCCATGGAACAAACGACAATTATGTGAGTTTACACGTCATCCGGCGTCAAGTGGTTTAATGACATACAATGCCCATCCTAGGCCAAGAAAATCAGGAACCATTTTAGGCACAAGAATGTCTGGCTCACATTGAATGTGCTTTTGATCTTGTCAAATTGCAGTTTCATACATCTCTACATGATGTCACTGTACATAACTCTTTGTGCTTTGGTTATGATTATCACACTTTTATGCGATTTTATTTCATGTCGCATTTCTTGGTACCAGTAATCCAGGGACACAAATATTACTTACAAAAACCTGTCATCTGCTTCTCTGGGAAACAACGGCAACTGAGGACTCTCCAAAAATTGGAATTTAGTTTAATTGGGGAAGAAGTTACTAGCAAAATGTCTCCCCCCCTACAAAAAATGTACCGCAACGCCTTCAGACTGGACTTAAACCACAGAGCTGTACCAAATAACTACATGTACATGTGCGTATAATTTCTTGAACAAAGTGAAGAGAAAAAGTGAAATAAAAGCTTACAATTTTTTTATGGCTTTAGGATGGCTACAGGTACATTGTACATTGTACACGTACGCACTGTACATGTACACGTATGTCTGTGTTCGTATTCACATTGCGTCCACAAAGTCGAAACGCCAAGAAACTAAGCATATGTACATGTACAGTACAATCAGTAATTGAGCATTTTGCTTTGCTCCATGTTAATTAACAGTGCAAAAGGCATGCATATTGCACTGCAAATGAATTTTGCTGAGGCTAACATTGACAAAAAAACACACGGTTAAGTTACACATGTTCCACTTGCTAACATCACTCGGAATTTGTTCCATTTTACCTGTGCATTTGACCGGTAAAAAAATGTGCAAGAATTCAATGTGTCTGCGGTGTCAGATCTTCTCTGCGCAGGAAATGAGTAGTCAGCGTTGCACATGCGCGGGTACATGTACATGTAGTCATTTGATTTTTCTGTATGTAAACGTCAACCCGCTACACTACGCACATGTCTGCAGAACAAACCACAGACCTTGAGATGGAGCTCAAGCCAAGAATTCCGCTCCCTGCACTCCACAGAAAAATCATTTCCCACAATGTAAACTCCAGTTGTAAATCAACTCAGAGGAAGTGACCACAGACAGTGACAGGATTGGTTCAGGGACAAACAAAACCCAACTATGGAGTTAAGAGATGGTGGTGACTGTTAATAATATACAAAATTCCGAAGCGAGGCTTGAGAAAACGAAGCATACAATGTAGTGTTTTATTTGGCATCTGTTTACCATGTTAACAATGACACTGAAAATAACATTGGTCTCAATTTTGCAAACATGTTCCAAACCAAATCTCTTTCGTCTGTCTCAAGGTTTGTTTTCTGACAAATTTAAGTTCTGCAGAAACTTGGCCACTTGAAGCAGCCGGCATCGGTTTCAAATTTATACAAGCCACTCAAGCAAACTGGCACTCCCAGAGGAAGGAAATCTGACCAGACTGTGGGCCAAGCCTGATTTAACCTTGACGGTGTAACCAAGCAGGAACCAGGAAACCATGTCACTACTGGAATCCTGCTATGACTGGTGACTGCAGAGATACACTTAAACACGGGACTTCAGTTGTAACACACATGTACTTTACACTGCTAGAAAAAGATAGGTAACATGTAAGTGTAAATAAGTTTCCACACAGTCAAGATTGCTACAGCTTCAAAGCTGCTACGTTTTCCACACGACATACATGTAGCTCAGTGAGTACCTGGTGAGTACATGTAAAGTACCGGTATGGCAATCCAATTGGTACTTCTGCATATGTGTCTCATGGCACTGCAATGCAGACTTCTCAGTGCACAAACCAAGTTCACAAAGGAGCCGCGAGATACGACTGTTGAGGTAGGTGGCACAGCATCGTTTGAGTGTACCTTTGCCGAGCTGCCGGACTGTGAGAGTGTTTACTGGGTTCAGTCCAGACAGAGCTGCGCTGCAAGTAGTACCTTGGCTACCTGTCACACTGCATTACCGAACGAACGAGTGGACAAGTCACGGTTATCTGTGTCCTTTGATGAGCGTGAGTACACCATGAAATTAAACATCACCAACGTGACCATGAGTGACGTGGGGCACTATGCCTGTTGGAGCTATCATGGTGGCCCATCTTCATGTGGTCGCCTGAGAGTGGTGAATCCGCCAACCCCGCAATGTTCGTCATCGCCTAGCGATCCTAAAGTTGGTGATACCATCACTTTGGACTGTCGCGTTCCCATGAATGCGACCGTGCCAACTAAACTGACGTGGCACTGGGAGACGTCCAGCAAGGTGAAAATCACCAACACCGTTCATCCCGGGATGAGCTCCCAACAGACGCATGTTCTGAGAGACACTGACAACTACAAACCATTCATGTGCATCGCAGGGAACAGCCTAAGCACGGGACCGCAGTGTTCTGTCTACCCACTCCAAATCCACCTGACCGTCAGGGTGGTGTTACTCCCGACTTCCCCTGGCAACAACGGCATCGCACTGAAGTTCCTCTGTCACACCCAGTCCATTCCTGCCACGACCCGTCACATGTGGTCACTTCTATACCCCGCAAACTTCACCAATGGCACTGAACCAGAATGGCTGGATGTCACAACCACGCAGGGTCGCTACCAGGTCCTCCAGTCGGGACGGTACCTTCACATCAGCAACATCACCCGGCGGGACGACGGACTGAAAGTGAGATGCTTCGCTTCGAACAGTGCCATGAATGCCACAAGCAAACCGGTGACGATCGTCAACTGCGCAAACACCAACTCGTTTGCGTCAAATGTGACACACTGCACAGTGACGACAAGAACTCCCCAGACGGACAACAAGATCCTCAACTACGCCGGAATTGTCACAATTTACGTCATTGCGTTCCTGGCGATAGTGTCTGTTGTCTTTCACATCTGGCACATCAGACGAGAGAAGAAGACACTCATCACACAACTTGAACTGACGGAGCAGCAAAACTTTTGAACTGTGGATAATCCAACGGTAAACTAGCCACTTGTGTAATTATGACAGAACTACATTTCACTTTTAAGAAGAGGGTGCACTTAGGGGTTCTCTGGCCCAGAGAACGGGGGATCTGATCCTCACTGAAAATTACATGTGACAAGACATACAGGTACGTGTACACTGTACTGTACTTTACCTGTATTGTGTCCTTGAGCAGGACACTGTACATGTATCATGCTTCTACCTCCCATGTATCATATGTGCATGTGCGGGCCCTTTTCACTCCTACACGTGTGAACAAGCACACCCTAAAAAATGAAAAACTGAGAGGATGGCTCCGCTGCCAGTGGTGGCGCCAATGTGGAAGACACTACAGCACAGGTACATTGTACATGTACACCGTACTTCTGCCAGATTTCCAGCCTCTGCTCTGCAAGACATGAACAAGCATCAATGACAGTAGAATGATTTTCAATGTGTGTATATGGGGGGGGGAGTGGATCCAGCCATGAGACAATCATGCCATCAGGCATCAACCATTAATAGACCAATCCATTAAACCCCACGCCCATTAAAGGATCAGCCAAGGGTGCCCCCTGTCCAAAAAGTGGGACCACTGGTCCCTCCCTGGTCCCCTCCCCCTCCCACCACCAATGACAAGCATGCATACCTTATGTACATGTACATGTGTACACAACCCCTTTGTCTCCCGTAGGGAGACTGTCTGCCAAAAAACGCTCCCTCTCTTGTCCATACACAGACCTTATCGCACTGAGTAGTACCTTGGCTACCTGTCACACTGCATTACCGAACGAACGAGTGGACAAATCACGGTTATCTGTGTCCTTTGATGAGCGTGAGTACACCATGAAATTAAACATCACCAACGTGACCATGAGTGACATGGGGCACTATGCCTGTTGGAGCTTTCATGGTGGCCTATCTTCTCCCACCACCAATGACAAGCATGCATACCTTATGTACATGTACATGTGTACACAACCCCTTGTCCATACACAGACCCTATCGCACTGAACAGTGCACCTGACAGCTTCCTGGATTTTGTCAAGATGACGCCGATGGATCTTTTGGGTACTTTTTGTTGGTACATGTACATGTACTTCTGTGTCTATCTAAAAGGAGCTTCAACCTAACCTTAGAAGTTTTACACTTGCAAAACAAAAAATTAAAAAAAAAGTTTAGCTGCATTTACATGCATACATGCATGAGAAATAAATACATTCATGTATGTCAAAATGTAATATATTGCAACTTTGACATAAATGTGTGAAAAAGTTTTTTTTTTAAAGAGAAGGCTGGCAGACTAAAAAGAAATGACTGGGAATGAGAAACCTTATTGTTTACTTGACCCAACTCAAATGCAGACTCAAGTCAAGCTGATCTTGAGAGAGAGGCTAACACAAACTACTGGAAACATGTTCTACACAGTGATAATATTTTTCAAGTATACTGTACATACCCGTACAAGTTCTTCTTTGTTTTAACAAACATATTTTTTCTGTGCAGGTTATTTGTAAGTATCTGCCATGTGTCCAAACTTGCTGCTTTGTACAGTTAACTTTATTTGTAAGACTTTAAAATTTAATAAATGTATTGCAAAAAGCCTTTGTATTTCTTTCATCTGTACATGTTTGGGATTTTTTTGGGGGGGAGAGGAGTAAAGATGTTATGTAAGGATGTAATAAGCTGTAACTTCTGTGACTGTATCTATGGTTACCAGGTTGGTTCCCTAATTACGCCACCTATTGTCAAGTCTCATCGGTTTTCACAGAGTAAGAGGCAATATAAAGAGACCTGGCAACTATATCGTCATGGACGCAAGTCACATTCAGTTCATCCTACGTGTAGTTTCAATCACAACTGGGATTTGTGACCATTTGCCACAGGAGATTAACCATTATTCTGTGCCAAATGATCATGAAAATCAGTCTACCTCCTGCGTGACCCAACTCGGCTTGGCCTGGAAAAAAATCCTAAGAACTACATGTACCATGGTGCATCAAACGACGGAAAATAATTCACCAGCCTCTGGAAGTACAGGTGCTGCGCCACTTTTTGGCACCCCCTGATTGCCTGAATTGCTTGTTTGCTTTGGTGACATCTTTGAAGATGGGTCTATTTTTGTCTGGTACAACTGAATTGCAGGAAATTGTAAGAGGCTAAGTTTTTCCCATTTGCCCAGCTTGTGCAGGAAGAATTGCACTACATATTTGAACTTTAACGTTACCTTAAACCAAAATTTACATGCTATTCGGTCAATAATTATTTTCTGATTTTGATGGTCCAAATGAAGTAATATGACTGAAAAAAATTGGCCTACCGGTACCTTTTAACAAGAATATGGTCATCTGTTTACTTCTGGACAAATTTTTTTTAAACAGTCAACACGGAACGAATACTACAAATTCCCCTGCTAAAATAGTTGCAACATTTTACCAAATCTTGAGATACATGTACATGTAAATAGCAGGATACGCCTCTAGTGTGTTCTTTTTCACTGTGTGAGCCATGGCTCTGAAGGATTTTTTTCCTAAAGAGAATGTTGCATACTGACTCCACTTCAGCAGTTGTGTACAAAGTCCAGAAGGAAGCACGAAAAGTTTCTAAATTTTTCCTAACAAACTTGGAAATTTTTCTCAGTCCCAGATGCATGTCTCTTCAGCATTTCTGCTGACCATTTTGGGATGACATATACATGTACGATGAAAAAAAACAGTGAAGGCAGAATGCAACAATATCTCCCATTACTGGTACATGTAGGTCTGAATTCCATCTTGCTAATTACGAATTCGCAGCGAAAATGTACACGTATCGGTAAATATGCGAGCATGGAACCAGACAAAACTGGTTTCTGGTAGTACAAGCTGAAGTCCTAGTAGGCCTACCTGTACCCCAAAACACTGTGCAGGTTATGTCAATGGGGCAGCGCGGACATCCGGGATTCGCGCAAAATGACAGGTACTGCGCCGGTGACAACAGCGACTTTGGCGACGTACGCACGCACAAGCCAGTCCGCGGATCGGGTTATACAATCTTTCCTTTGATCTGTACGTACGCGCGCGCGCGCTCGTTGCAGTTGTTTTCACCGGCCGCGGTGTGTGGTTGCTAGTTGCTACCTGTATTTTTGTGAAACTCCCGGGTGTTCGCGCTGCCCCATACAACAACAAAACCTATGTATGTACAATGTACATGTACTGTATCCGGACCAGTTCAAGGTCAAATTTCCACTGCCAAATTCAGTGAGGATGAGAGTACCGGTAGGCCTAAGTACATGAAGAAGCTGCACATCACACTGGGATAGCTGTCCCTCCATTACAACCTACTATTTCAACATAATCAAGCATTCTATAACGATGGCCTAAATGCAGTGCATGTTCATGTACGTGTACTTGCCAGGACAGAAACGACCTCAACGACACTGACACTTGTCTGTGAGTACCGGCTACGTGATGATGTATTTAAGCGCATGTTGAGGAGTATGAGCTTTATTTATACTCACCATCATCAAACATTAATAAAGCAACATGTTTTTTCAGTAACTTACATGTACTTGCCCAAAGTCCTCATGCCTGAATTTTCTTTTAATAGGGTATAATGTTAGGCCCACCTCTAGTAGTAATACTGTGTGGAGCATTACCTAGTTTTAGTCCTCTTTTTTGAAGTTTGGACTTAATTAATTTTAATCAGTCAGTCCAAAATCGAAAAAGAGGAATACCACCAACGCTCCACTCAGCAGAGCTAGCTAAACGTTTCATGCAAGTCAGCTTGTACTCAGTACTTTCATTTCAGACCGTACGTGTAAATGTGCATGGTCACGTAATGATTGCGTGTGATTGCCGGCATGTGATTGTGACGTTAGGTCATTATACACTAGGCCTATTTCCCGACATTTGCTGTCAGAAAAGCAGGCTACATTCTCTCCCCCCAAAAAATCTACTCACATGTCACGAATTCCCGGCTTTGACAATGTCACACAAACTGACCACAGAGGAAGGAAAACAAGTTGCAGCAAGGCAGGTTCGATCCAGTATCATGTGCGGCGACAATAACAAAATTCTACACACGTTCAATCATGGACGAAGGACACAACCTCCATGGTTCAATGAACAAGTATTTAGTAAATATGTAACGAATCAGATAGCACTAGCACGCATGATCACCATCGAGTCACCAACAAAAATGTCTTGCCTCTTGGTGGCGCACTGTACAAAAATGAGACTTGCTTTTATCATGTCTGGTCTGTGGTGTGTCCAACCACGACCGTGCACTATGGGATGCACTACATGTCATTTTCATGTACTATCCTAGAAAATGGCTTTATTGTCGAACCAGTAGTCGTCACGCCTCGTGGAGGCTGCTGATGGAATTTCGGACTTTACCTCCTTTTGAAAACAAAACCTCCACATTTAAAGCCTTTGTGACTCAGGGCAAGTCAGGTTTCCTCTGCGTGTTGTGTATAACTTGAACCATAGAAACTAAACTCCGCGCCAGTCCGGCCAGCCAGCCTATGGCCAGCCAGCCAGCACAAAAGTGCATTTAAACAAATTGGCACACTAGAAATATCTTGCTCAACCATGCACGGGGAAAGAACATAAGAGAGAACGAGTTCCATATACATGTTGGCCTATACCACTTATTAAGCCTATTTTGAGGTACGCCAGCCACAATAAGAGGGCGCTCATAATAAATTACCGTTTTTAGGCTTATCATTTTGTACACTTCCAGGCTCCTTTCCCGGGAATGCAATTCTGGCTTTCAATTTTAGCAGTAAGGCCCACCAGCTCATGATCCTCCAACCAGCGTCTAATTGGACGAGGTTTCGAAGTTGCACCTGAGGAACGAGGTTGAAGATATCTCTCCTCCTAGCTTAGCGAAGTAAGTTTGTATTATTATTATTTATGTTTTTAGAGCTTGCAAAGTAGCGATTAACTTCCAATTTCGCGAACATTAGGTGCTCAATACACAATATATAACGAGTTAACGAACATTCATACCTGATATAACTTTCACATACAAGCTCTCTACTGGGGATTGTTAAAAGGAATCACGATAATCGAGCCCATATCAACCAAAGATTAGTGTCGCTATATCTTTGATGTCAATTGGGTAAGAGCGAAAACGGGGGGGGGGGGTAGACATTGTAGTACCAACAAACCGAAAGCTCAACTGCAATGCTACAAAGCCTGTCCAGAAGTGAAGCAGTCATAAAGACCTGTTTGTAAAAAAATCCCTTAATATCATTGCAATTATCATAAATCAGTTCTCGAATCCTGTGACAGACACCAGGCTATACTAACCATCCATCCAGGCACCGGCCTCTCATAACCAATTCCTCCAAAGACACCGACAAGTTCTCCTTCGCGCCAACTGCAGTCCGGCTCTGGAATACCCTTTCCTGTTGTAGACATCATCACTGCGCCATCAGAAGTCGTCTCCAGGGCCTAGGGTATGCATTTCCTTCAACCATCTCCAAGATCGGACCTTTTAACTCGCATTTTGTTTGTTTGTTTTTGTTTCTTGTTTTTTGTTTTATTTTTTTGCTTCCCCTGCTTCACATGCGCCTTAACTTCAACCTCAAGGTTGAACTTTCTAGAGGACGGCGTATGTAGATGCAGAGAGTTATTGGCTCTCTATTTGATCGGCTGACTTATGGACAGATCCACTTACTAATAAACACTTGCATGACCTTATGCAACCCGTCTAGGACTGGGGCGAAAAAAAGGCTTAAAGTTTACCTGAACTGCTTCCGTGCCGTACCACAACATAATTGACTGCAGTACAGCGTAATGCCCCCTTTCATTTTTAGGGATGGCGTGGGCACACTGTTAGTTAAACATTAATTTTATTGACAGTTTTGCGAAAGTGGAGTTCAATGTGCAAAATATGACTTTTTATCACGTGACCAGGGTGGCTATTGGAGCTAAAGACCTCTCTGAATAGTTGAGATTGTTTGGTCTGAGAATATCCAACTTTATTGGCCTCAATAAATGACTGTTAACCTCCCCTCCCCCTTACACTCTCTGTTCTGCATCCATTGTCAACAAACTGAGGTCAGAATGTGGGACTTTCCCACTTCCCCATTGGTCCACGCAAGCGCTAATTATGCAACATGTGCCTCGTTGCTACACGGAGGTCTCTCGACAGAGGAGTATGAGGCTGCGTCGGAAACAGTTACCTCGAGCTAGGTCTAGGTCTGCGTCAATTGAAAATATGCGGGAGGTACGCCGAGCGCAGACATAGCCGTAACTCTGGAAGACCGTTTCGGCCGCAGCTTAAACATGCAGTCTCGGGAAACCGTGTTGCGCATTAGTTTCTGTTCAGCGCCATCTTGTCTGCTCGCGTGAATACACCTAACCGGTTGGCTAAAAGGACTCAGCGGAGCCTCAAGGAAGCTCAACGCGTTCTCGCATCTGGGTGAGTACTGAGCATGCCCAGTCGGCACATCTCAAAGGAATCCAAATGTTTAATTGAAGCTTAAGACATCAATATTTTGTGGTGTTGTCCATTTGAAGCAGACCTGTGTGACAACTGAAGTTTTTTTCCCCCATTTCCATGTGTTTCAAAAATGTACACCGAGACTGAATTTGCCAGTGAGGTTTGCAGCCGTCCGTTGTTCTTTGATGGAAACTGTATAAAAACTCTACTTGTTTTATTAAACGAGAGCTCAGCGTGAGAACTTTGAGAGAAAAATTGAAACAAAATTAATGTAAAACCATGCGCAACGCATTGTGATGTCTAAACCCATGTGATCTGAAGCTTCCGGGTGAAGATGGCGGTTCTTAGGATATTTGAAACAAATCAAGTTGCAAGTTTTTGAGCAGAGTTTGAACAAACCTGCAGGGAAAATTATGTGCCAGACAAATGTGATTCGTATGAGTTGGAATGATTTGTTTCCGATATTTAAAAAAAATTACACTTCCTCAATTAAAAAGGGTTAAAATACGACTTTGTATGTAAGTATCCCCAAATCACGAGTGAAGCAACATGTCGTTGACATTTGGGCTTGTGAATGTGGTTTATTTCTACCGTTTTCTGTAATGTCATTTGTTAAATGTAAGCCTACATTAACCAGTTGGTACCAAACAATCGACATTAACTTACTGACATGACCACAACTGGTCCACCAAGGCCTCGTGAAATTTCGTTTGCTTCGGTTTTGTGCGTTATTTGCCCTGTAAACTCTGCAATTGCTCCCTGACCTAAGCAGGAACGAGATTCACACTGCGCGATATTTTAATGTACGGTACTTGCTTGCAGAAATAACTCCGATCCCCTTACTTCAAACCGAGAAATGGAGTTTTATTGTCCTTGTTGATGTTCACAGCAATGTACCCTCTGGGTGACAAAGGCTTTTGTAAATACCACTATAGAAGCCATCGCAAACTGACAAGGGATCGCGCACGGAATAGCAGGTTCAAGGTTTCCTCGTGTGGTGGGTAGTGGATTTCGGTGCCTCGATCGGCCGACGTTCAGGCTTCGTTTTGTGACTTAAACCACATAACCCCCTATGATCTCAGCTACGCGCAGGTGTCAGTTTGTCCCTGACGAGTTGAATGTACGTATAATTATAACTCGAGGGATGTACGCGTGTCAACAAGTTCACAGTTTTGGAGTCCGACGTTGAAGCTGCCGCTGGCAGTAGACACAGAAATTCGATAACTAGGCCGCCATCAGCATTGACTTGACCTCGGAATACAATGTGCTCATAAGCCACTCCCCCGTGGCCAGAATGTTTACCCTTATTGTCGCATTTGCAGGCGTTGGAACCACCACAAATCAGTGATATTTTTGTGTACTTAAATTTCGAGTGGCACATTCAATTCCTGTTCAAACACGTAGCGCACTAAAGACGCACACTCCCTGAAGAATCCAAATATTGAGTCCAACACAAGAGGCTTCATTCTCCACGGTAGTTTTAGACCAGACTAAAGCACAGACTTTGTTTCGTTCAGATCGATTAAAAATTGTGTACTGACAATTTTCAATTTTCATTCAAAGCCGAGCCCTGAAACAAAGTAGTCTGACTGGTTAGATTTTATCTCACACATTTATTCACCCCGCTCATCGCTTTTGTTTGCCTGTTCATGCCAGTTAATTGTGTTTCTTTTCTTTTCTGTTTTTGAGGAGGAATTAAGGATTAACGAGTGATGGGTGAGAAAAACCGTTTTTGATAATTTAAAACTTTTTCCGCATTATAACATTGAAAAAGAAATCAGTTACAAAGGGACATTTTAGGGAACCTTATAATTGCCCCCAACACGTAATAATCCTTATGTTCAAAGACTAAAACACTCCTTCGTTTTTATGCTAAATCCGGAAAACATTCCACTTCGACCAAGTTTTCTTGTGTTACTTTTACCGCAGCAATTACCAAAGACACTGAGGCAAGCCAATGGAGCCGGCCGGTGTGATAATGAAAGAACCCATGGCCTACAGCCATACCGATGTGGCACTGCACATGGCACCCACGCCGGCGGCAACCGTGGTTACCAATCAGCCGACCACTACCATCATAAACGTAGGCATCCTCACAGCACCAATCTCGGCATAGTTCAGTCGTATAAAAATCCTCCAGTTTCCATGTCTTTTTTTCGCACGCCCTTTTGGGCCTAAGGGTTGAAAACTCAAGCGTGTAGAGGCTCAAGGGCCAGAGTGCACTTAACGTATAGGAGTTAAGAGAAGACATTGAGCACTCCAGCCGTTAACAAGTAACGCTTTACATAAAAAGTACTATTTTAAAAGCACCCAGTACAGTATACTACGAGCAACTCTTCTGTATTATGCGTCTTTCTCGTAAAGTAGGAAATTGTTCGTCTCAAAGCACCATTAACGACTTGGGGTTCGCAAGAACACTAACACGCAATTTTTTTTCGTTCCCCACGTCATCCAGTTGGGGCAAAACAGCTTTCTGTACCCCCGTGGCATACCACGTGACTGGTCTACGCCTCTCTGCGGCTGCTTCGAGGATTGTGCTGGATGTAAGTTTTTCTGTCCCTAACAATCCCGAATCCTCCGAATTACATACACCTTAGGGTGTTAGAGTTGATGATACTACATCCATTGGGAAGCATTTTAGGATCTCATCTTCAATACGTACGGCGTTTGCATGAAGGCAATTCTCGACAAAGTAATTAATTTCTATAAAAAGTTAACCAGTTCAAAAAGAAGCCAGTACTTGCTTGAAAAGAAAAGATTGGAAGACCGTTCATCGTCCAACCATAAACAAACGCAAGAGAAGGAAAGACCCTCGGTGTGTCTGACTGTTTCTCCCGCAAGACTTCAACAAATCTCTGTTGGTGCTACAGATTTTTAAAGGTTAGTTGCGACAAGAACCATGGAATCCATCGGCAGGAGTATGTTTGTACGGACCGGCCGTTTGAAGGTGTGTTATGATCAGTACTCTAACAATTTCTGAGCTCTTCGAAATGGGACCCATTTCATTCGCAGGTCTGTGCGCCTTCTTCTTTTTCCCCTGCTACGAGTGTCACGTGGCCACCAAGATGGGCGAGAACTGTTGCACGCCCATCTGCGTGCCAAACGGCACCATGGTGATGAGGGCGCACATCCGTGGGCGTCATAACATTCAGGTATGCGGCTCTATTGTTAATTAAACCTGTGTCCTTTTTCATAATAATTATCCGATAAACAGCTAGTTCCCAGCCCTTTAATTAATGTCGATACGGTACAGAGTGGGGAATGTTCCCGCCGTTTGAAGTATCGCCACCGCAAACCATGCATTTCGTAGTCGGTCGCGAACCAGAGAAGTGCAGTTCCAACCAAAGGCGCCTCTGTTGCTTGGAAAATTGCGCCCTCTCTTGGTTCCGCTCGGCACGGATTACATTGCCACCGCTGACGTTAGATCTCGTTGTGGCAATGCTCAGCCACAAACACCGAGATTGGTAAATTCAGGCTGTGGTGGGGCAGAAGCCTTGACTCTAATATCATGGAGTGTGCGCAGTCCCAAGACTGTGTCACGTGCAGGCAACGGTCCAATAGGGAGTGGGCATAAGAGTGTTATAATTGCGCATGTTTAAATTGTTTTCACTTTACGGATGCCGGTAACCGTGGTAATTACCCTCGAACTGGACCAAGAGAAGATGCAATTTTCGTAGCAACGCAGGTTCCTTTGATGGAAACTGAATCCGCCAGTTCACAAACAACAAGCTTCAAGGCTTCATTGCTAATGAGCACTCCCCACCAACATGGGTCTTTTCAACCGATGAGGGGGTGCTTCCGGTCAAAGCGGATAGCTCGGCCTTTGAGCTAATATTTTTTGCGTGAATCGAAACAGTGGCGTGAGAGCGTCAATTCGACCAACCTTAATGTACGAAAGTCACAGAAACATACTGAAACGTAGCAACATTCTCGTGACATATTTTTCCGATTTCCAGGGGACACTGATCAACGACTGTTGCACGGCAGCTTTCTGCTCCCAGTGCGCGTTGGCTCAGCTTTCCCGTGAGATCGATAACATCAAAGGCGGGCGTGCCGCACCATAAGGAGGCATCGACAGCAGACATCAAGGCCAACTGAATCAGAATTTTAGTAGCACTTCCTTTAACCAAGAGTCATCATGTAAATTTCCTTTTAAAAAAAGGTCAGAACAACGTGTTCCAATTTTTTTCGTTTTATAAAGTGGTCAGTACTCACTGAGTCGACTATCAAAGAGGCTCGCACGCAGGTCTAATACATCCACAGACACTTCTTTGTAAATTAGTAAAGTTGATTCGTAATAAACGATTAGCACTTTCAAACACAGAGAGGTACTTAAAATTAAGCACAGAAAGGTAATTGAATTAGTTTTGAGATGACTTTGCAAAATATCACCCTTCGAATTATTCATTTGATTTTGAACACACGATTGTGCATATTAATTCATGTTATTAACTTTTTTCCACATCGTATGAATGTCAGTATCTTTTGTTTGCCGCATGGAAGAATTAGCCATCCATGCGCACCACTCAACTTTCGTGCAGGCTTTTTTTTCAGATTTTCAATCTTTAGATTTTGAAATAGGCCAAAATAACGAAACGTATTATTAGTTAGAAGACATGCCCTTTGAAGAAAAACAGAATGCTGTAACCTGGTTTGTTTGTTTGTAATTTCCTATTTTATAAAACTTTTTTCATTTGTTCCATACTTTCTTTTGAGTTTTTTTTATATACATGCCCTCAAATTATCGTCCCTTTATAATGTAGTCATGTCATGCAGTATATATAATGTAGGCCTATATAGCTCACGCGTTATCTGGGGCACTAGAACGTAATAATGTCAGATATTTGGGAATATTTCCAAACAACGGTTTACAGTATTGAACCTTTTGAGGAAGGAAACGGTTAGTAGTGCTTTAAACAAAACTTAGGATGTGACGGGGGGGGTTATGTGGGGGTAAACTTGTACCAATCCATTTGTTAATTTCACTTAATCTACTTGGCGCTATTTTTATTCTGGTAAATCTTTGCACACGGAAGCAACGCCACACTAATCATGAATCATTTATAATCTGCCCAACAATTAAAACTGGGTCCAATTTTTCATCAAAGAGACCAAGTTTTACGTGATGTATTATCGTTTACGGAAACTTTACACCATCCCCACCCGAGCTACAAAGGACAAATTTTGGCCAAAGACTCCGATGTCGATGGTGACTGTTGTATATAGCGCCCTCATCGTAAATTCTTTTCAAAAATAGTTTTCTAGCTGGGTAAGCGAGCCTTTTACACACGATGGGGCGCGCTACTTCTAAGGAGTCAAACTATAACAATGCTCAATCCACTAATGATTTCACCACACTACTTTTAGTCCCTTACTATATTTGCTAAACATCCGAGTATCACGTAGAAAAACGAATGCTGTTAGATTGCTAAGGCTTCGCCTTGGTTTCTTCTAAGGGCAAGCACGTTTGGCATACCTGATGTTGCCTATCTGCAATCAACTTTATAAGGCACAATTATTGTAGACAGTATGAGGCCGCTAATTTCTACTGTCCTGAAGCATTANCGACTTCAAAGCTGCAAGTTTGGTTGGCAAAATGCCGTCACCCATTTTGTTCGATGATTTTACTGACTTTATGCCATGGGTCCGACACCAAAACGGCGCGAAATTCGTTCTCATCAGGGCACTCACAATCGTCGTCTGGCCGGAATAAAACGCTGTCAATTTCGTCGGTCCTTCTCTTTGAAAACGTTACGTTCAAAGTAAAGTTGCTGGGGCAGCAGGCGACCTTTCCACGTTTGCTTCAAATATTTAAGCCGATTTTATACTTTTGGCGAGAGTGTGTGAAGACGAATTGTGTCGGTCCTTTCTTTTTTGAAAGTCGGGGCTTCAGGGGATACATCCCAAAGTTTGAGGGACACATTCCAAAGTAGGGCAGTTGCTTGTGTTAGGCTCTTTGCAGTTTTTTAAGGCTTTTTTATTTTCGAGAACTGACCGGACAGTTCGTTGTTCGAAGATTGATGTTTGCCGTAGCACGGACAGGAATGCTTTTGGTAGAGAGCTCGCTGAATAGTACAGTGTCGGTTCAACTTCAACAAGCCCGCCTTTGGTACAGAGTTTAGCTGGCTGGCACCCTACCGGTCAGAAGTGCATTTCTCCCGGTCATGTTTGGGCAGTCCTTATCATGCAGTTGCGTTATGGGATTTGGAAAAAATAACGAAAACAACGGCAGAGGTTGTGGAAAATGTAAACTATCTTCGGTTCTTCCTCTCACGCCATCCTGACCGCTGCAATTTAGCCAGTTCGGTATTCCAACAACAAAATTATCCGAAAAAGAGGATGCGGTCGACTATATTTCTGAGAGTTACATGAGTTTAACCTTCTCCCCACCGTCTCCCTGTCCCGACCACAATATGTCAACCCGACACTTCACATGAATTCCATCTTTGATTTTCACACACAAATCAAACTTATGTCGCGCAATAGGTCCTATTCAATTATCATGTAATCAAGAATTAGACAAAATCATATGCGGTATTTGCATTACATTCACTTTATTCAGAGTAAGCTGAGCTTTAAAACACTTTTTTTGACAGAATGTAATCTTAATAAAGCATCTAAAATAATAGGACAATGTGCAAAGGGAGGTTTGGAGCGATATTTTAGGAATGGATGGTGTAACAAAACAACAGCAATCATCGATAGAGACATCATCATCTTTTGAGTTTATCATAATACGGGCGATTCATAATAGTGCGCCTCCAAGAGTTTGCGACGCGTTGGCCAATCACAACGTGCGAAATCTGTCAACCCTTTTTGGAGGCGCACTATTGTGAAACGCCCAGATTGAAAAAAAAACACTATTTAGCGGCCTTCACTCTATGCAGAAGTCGGGATCTTGAACAAGTCAAATGTGGCGGGAATTTCAAAAAGCTGAAAACCTTTATGCAACTCAGTTGGAGCTAATGTCAAATGTTGCAAATGCGTCAAAAGAATAGTTTGCATTCTTTCTGCGGCATCGGACTTATCCGGTCTCTTCGATACGAATGTCACCAACGTTACTGAGTGCTTTCGTTGTTTAAAGGTTTAAATGGTAGATTAACGGTGAATCAAGGTAAGGAAATGTTTAAACGGAGTTGGTTTAGTATTTCAGCCCATGTGGTTCCCGGGGTAAATAATTAAAGACTGTCGAGACAGAACGCATTCAAGATGAGTGTACTGTCGTTTTAACATTCTATAAACTACGTCTGCGAAAAACTTCTTCCCCTGACAGCCGGGTCGAATTGGCCCGAATGCAAGAAACTTGAGTATTAATTTTATTGCTACAAAAACGAAAAATAATGCAACCCTGAATGATTCGTAAACACCGACACTAACAATGATTGATGTGAACAAAACCAAAAATCCCCGAAAAATCATAAAGATCTTGCATGAAAGTAAAGCCAAACAGTGTTCCTTGCCACCACGTCCTAATAATATACACCGCAAAATGATTTTTAAAAAAAGCTATTTATAACTTTTGGCCATGACTCTCTCTGCTCGAATCACAAACTCAAGAGCGCATGTGCCTTTCTTGACGATTTGCCTTATGCCAGATTAATTCTAGTATCTCTCGAACTTGCCACTGACGTCTAGTTGAAAGGACCCCGTCGACTGCAATCATAGTCTAATACCGGACAATGCAGGTGCGAATTCGGGGGCCGGTCAGAACACAGGTCAAACCTGGCGGGCAAGGATTGTCCCGGTTGCACCCTTTGATCTCTGTGAAATGACAATCATGGTATGACGGAAGGGTTCAGCTTGTAGCTCTTGTTTACAACATGTAATCGCGCCAACGTACCAGCCCTGTTTAGTCAAACCTGCTTGCTCATCCTACATTTGCCTCGAAGAAAGTCCATGGCCAAGGCCATAAGATTTACTTTTCGATTTAGTTCTATTTGATTTATTTTTGGAGACAACAGGTGGAACTAAATACTGAAATGCATACTTACCCTGACGTTGGGCCAGGTACTCGTCAAGTTTTTCCACTATCTCATCGCGGAGTGCTCTCTCTTAACCAAGGTGAAGAAATTCAGAATTGTGGAAAAAGAAGCCTTTTAACCAGGAATCACTGAAAGGTTGTTTTCAAAATGGTAAGCGTTTTCATAAAAGTAATGCAAGTGACATTGCCAGGCAGACCACTTCAAGCACGCGGACGTTTTGTCTAAAATTGGAGTGGATGATTAGAACCCTGTCGAATCGTGACCATCTAACTTGTGATTTTGAGATTGGCTTTTGAACTCCCTTGAATTTATTTTCAAGGGGGAAGTACCACCTTACCCTTGAAATGAGTTTGGCGAAATGGGGGAATGAAGGAATAGCGACACACATTTAAGTCTGAGAATTTTTCGTTTTAAAATCGAAATTTGAAGAAGGTCGTGTTGTGTACCTACCGCTGTGTTCACGATAGTCATTCCAATCTTCAAACGATCTCTCTAAGCAGGTAAAAGAAAAGACAAAAGTAATTATGTTAGATCTGGTGAAGTTTTATCTTTTACATGCCTATGTAACATTAAACAGTGTTTTCTCCAGAAGCTTGACCATTCTAGGAGGCACATGAAAGTGTTAATTAGAACACTGCAAACTAACTAACTCCGCATTTACTTACTTTGGCGAACTGCCATGGCAAAGGCGCCGGTCAGGCAAAGGACCAGAATCAGACAGCCGTAACCCTTCATTGTAGCTTATATTTCTGCAAATAAAGAGGGACGTTCAAACGGGTAATTGATTTTTATCAAAACTAATTTGAAAAGATTAGTGTAAACCTGATTCTGAAAAGATTGTTTGTCTGGTATTTTCGGCAATTATTTTTCCCCAGATCTGAAAAATATATATCTTTTTTATACTCTCTGTTTTTAACAATTGTACAGCACAAAGAAGCTATAGTATAGATAGGCCTTGGCTATATACGCGTACCTTCACGAGCTTGAACAAACTGTAAAAATGATTCGCACTCAATCCAGGACGTCAGCTCCGTCGATCTCACTTCAATGATATGTTCCCACTTCGCGAAATCAGGCCTTGATATACGCGGGACTCACTCCCGGCATCGACAGGCGACCGCACTACAATTGCACCCGCACACGGACTATGGCCGGAAAAGCACGCTACGGTGATTTTCTTTTTCCCGTATGTCTAGCCGGGGGGGGACAAGGCAAGCTTCATTGATATTTTCGTGTCATGAGTAACAGCATGGCTATTCTTGAGCCCTCGCATGATTGATGTCTAGTTGAAAAATAAAAAATAATAAACCTACTTGGAGTTACCAGTCGCCATCTGATGATCCGCATTACACGACTGTTGCATGTGGCATGGAACAGCCTTTGTTTTACGTGAAGTCAGGCGAGATAACTGCATGGATTCCCTTTTCCTGTTTAATCTACTCGCCAATAAACCACGTTTTTTGTTTGATTTTGTTGATTCTATGTTAGTTTGTTTTCGTGATTTATATTTGCAGACAGTTTGGACATTTTCGGATTGCAACACCACCAATTTCCAGGGCGATTGAATTCCCTCAAATCTGCATGCTAATGGTTAATGTTGGTCGGGTACATGACAGCTGGACAATGGGGAAACTTCAGGCACAAATTTTTTTTCAACTTACGGCATTTTGGAGTTTCCTATCTTTACCTCCATTTCTTATAAATCCACAGTGTACGCCCAAAGTGACGTCAGGGAAAGTGTGCCCTTGGTTGCCGGGAAATGTTACTGAAACACTTAACCCCAATATATTCATGCTCTTAATAGTAGTCGATACGTGTACATTGATGTTATTCTCTAAAATTTATATTGTCCCCAAGATATTTGTGACTCACTTCGTGAATGTGGATTCTCCATGGTGACAAATGCTGTGGGTTCCTATTGATTTACACTGTGCCAAATTATTCTATTTTCTCCAAAGTGACTTTGGCGACTTAAGACTAATTTTCACAAAGTGGGTCACATTTCGGATGTCATAAACAGATTCGTGAACCCCAGGTGAAAATATTTTTGGGTACAAAGAATGACAATATGAAGTGAAAACAAAGTGCTCAACCTTTGCGAATCGTCATGGCGAAGGCGAAGCCAAGGCAAAGGACCAGAACTAGACAGGTACTCTGCCACTGTTGTTTACTTCTGTCCGGACAAAGACTGAATAAAACGAGCGCACAATATACCTTTGAACAAACCGAGCTTGGGGGACCCCGTATCAGCCTATGCTTACACCAAAGCATACATCTGAACAAGGTGGTTGCTTTTTTCTCGCCAAAGCTTCCATTTCTTTTCTACCCAGTACCAAACAAAGCAGTACAATTGCCCGAATTTGACTCTGCTTCGAGTCCCTTTGCTTGCTCGATCGAGGATACGTTTTGGAAAAATTCGTTTTGTCTCACTTGGTAAAGAGTGATTCCTGGTGCTCTTTGAAAACTGTCCGTAAAGGACAGCTTATAAGTTATGGCTCAACATTATACATGTATATCAATGACAAAGTTGTGCCCGATGATAGATGCTTGTTTCGTGTGGTTTCAAAGTTCACCGAGGTATAACATCTGCGGCTGTTTTGAATCTAACACAGAGATACCGGTACGATATTGGACCGTCAAGGGCCCAAATGACCCCCACCTACATCGGGGAGTATCGAAATGCTATCAACCCCGTTGCAGCAGGCAGAGAGGCCAGGGCTTTTTGCTCTGAGTTCAAATAAGATTTCCCTGTGGAGCAAAAGAACTGCCCTGCAAGATGGCTACCAAGAGTCATAACAATAGACTAACCCGATTAGACGCCCTAACTGCGGTGGCACCTCATTGACACGCACATTCTTCAGCTTGACGCGCGCGTGCGTTTGGCAAATCACGACACCCCATTGGTCGGAGAGGCATGTAACGCGCGCGTACCACCTGTCCACGAGCGTTATGCCACCACAGTAATGGCTTCTCATTCTGGTAGTCGAATTACACTATACGGGCGATTTACAACAGTGCACCTGCAAGAGTTTGCAACGCGTTGGCCAATCTCAATACACGAAATCTGTCAACCCGGTCGACTCTTTCCAAACGCGCATTGGGTCGACAGATTTCGCGCGTTGTGATTAGCCAACGCGTTGCAAACTCTCGGAGGCGCACTCTTGTTAAACGCCCGTACAGTATTCTTCAAAGATACAGTAGGTGAAACACCAACTTTTGGACCACTTAACAAATCTAAGGATTGCATTTCTTACAACCAAATAAATTTCATTAATTTCTCCCCTTTATAAGGTACATCCATTGCACGTACAACACTCTAGTGACATAAACTGGTAGAATGCCTTTAATATTGTTTATTAGAATACAAAGTATGAATCCATTTCTAACACTGATCATGAACGATAAGAGGGGCCTTAAGCGCCGCGTTCGGGCTCCTGGCAATGATATTGTGCTCAAAGGACTACACCAACACTTTTCACCGGTGTTAACAATTTTGGTGCTAGTTGGTGTTGCTTTTAGTACCCTCCAGTGCACTGTAACACTTATAGATGTACAAAGTAATACCAGCAGTGTTAAAGTAACACCCTGTGGTGCGGTCATCTGATAATACCAAAATGTGTTAATTTAAAACCAGAGTTATTACAGTGTATTGTATGATGCGTATAGCTCACGCAGTACAGTACTTTTGATGTGACAAGTTTTCAAGACAGAGTGAAAGAAGCATGCATTTTTAGCCTGGTAAACTTGTACCAATCCATTTATTAATTTCACTTAATCTAGGCCTACTTGGCGCTATTTTTATTTTGGTAAATCGTTGCGCACGCAAGCAACGTAACACTGATCATGAATAATTTACAATCTGCCCAACAATTAAAACTCAATACAAAAGACCAAGTTTTGGCCAAAGACTCCGGTGTCAATGGTGACTGTTGTAGATAGCGCCGTCGCTAAATTCTTTTTTTAAAAAAATAGTTTTCTAGCTGGGTAAACGAGCTTTACACGCGCCGATGGGGCGCATATTTCCAAATGAGACTGACAATGCTCAATCCACAGCAGATTTAACCACACTACTTTTAGCCCCTTACCACAACTGCAAAACGTCCGAGTATCCCGTAGACAAATGGATGCTATTGTGTAACGTTTTCCTTAAGGGCAAGGACGTTTGGCAAGCCTGATGTTTCCTATCTGCAATCAACTTTATAGGCACAATTATTGTAGACAGTATAAGGCCGCTAATTTCTACTGTCCTGAAGCATTGNCGACTTCAAAGCTGCAAGTTTGGTTGGCAAAATGCCGTCACCCATTTTGTTCGAAAATTTTTAATACTGACCTTATGCGACGGGTCCTACACCAAAACGGCGCAAACTTCGGGTTTTTTTTATCAGGGCACTCACAATCGTTGTTGTCTGACCGGGACAAAACACTCTCGACTTTGTCCGTCCTTTTTCTTTGAAAACTTTACGTTCAAAGGAGTTTCTTGGTCAGCACGCGATCTTTCCAGGTTACGCTTCGACCTATTTAAGCCGATTTTATACTTTTGGCAGGTGAACGGGGAAGAACGAAGATTTCTGTCAGTTCTTTCTTTTTTGGAAGTTGGGGCTTTGAGGGATACATTCCAAAGTAGGGCACTTGCTTGTGTTAGGTTTTCAAAGGTTTTTTATTTTCGAAAACAGACAGTTCGTTGTTCGAAGATTGATGTTTGGCGCAGTCCGGACAGGAATGCGTTCAGCCGAGAGCTAGCCGAAAGGTACAATGCGGCGCTGCTTATACTTTCTTTGGTACAGAGTTCCGCTGGCTGGCAACGTACAAAATAAAGAGTGTATTTCTCATAACCATGTTTCAGCAGTCTAGGCTATTTCGTGCATTTGATTTATGGCTCTGGAAATATTCAACCCCCCCCCCAAAAAAAAACGGGAGAGGCTACAGAACAATGCAAACTTTTTCGGTTCTCCCTCTCACGACATCCTGACCGCTGGAATGAGCCAGTTTGGTATTCCAACCCCTCAACCAAATACGCGACAATGAGTCCCGTCGACTATATTTCTACGAGTTAAATGAGTTTAACCTTCTCACTGCAGTCTCGCATGTTCGACACATCACTCACGCCCCCAATCGAACGCACCCATCGGTTCCGTGGTCGTTCTAAAACAGTGAACGAGGTCTGACCTATCACTGAGCGCGGACAGTACGCCAACTCGTTCACGTGGTTTGTTCTCCAATCAATTATTGCTATACCGAGCTTGACCATTCTTCGCATGCAAACGTGATCATCTACAGTCTCCCAGTCGCGACCACAAAGGTCAACCCGACACTATACATAAAGTCGGATGAATTCCATCTTTGGTTTTCATATGAGGCAAACTTGTGTCGCGCAATATTCCATTATCATGAAATCAAAAATTAGAAGAAAAAAATCACACACAGCGTTTGTATTAGATTCACTTTTATTCAGAGTAACCCGAGTGTTAAAAACAGTTTTTGACAGAATGTAATCTTAATTAAACATCTATAGGCTAACAGTACAATGTGCCAAGGGAGGTTGGGAGGATATTTTCTAAGGAATGGATGATGTGATCAAACAAAACATGAGGCATCATCATCTCATTTGATTATAACTGACAAAACTATTGGGTTGCTTTGACTCTATCCAGGAGTCGGGAACTTCAACAAGTCAAGTGTGGTGGGGATTTTAAAAAAAAGTTGAAAACCTTATGCAAATCAGTTGGAGCTAATGTCAATTGTTGCAAATGCGTCAAAAGAATAGTTTGCATTCTTTCTACAGCATTGGACTTATCCGGTCTCTTCGATACGAATGTCACCAACGTTACTGTGTGCTTTCGTTGTTTAAAGGTTTAACCCTCAAAGAGCCGGGGGCAGAATCCGCCCCCCCCCCGTTGATTTTTGCTTATGCATATTACTGTATACAGCTCACAGCATCTCTGGTTTCATTTCTTCTGAATATGTACAATCCATACAGCATCTTTGATGTGAAAAATGCAATAAAATCGCCCGACAATCGAAAGAAGGTAAAAAGTTGGTATCATGAATAATTAATGAGTCATAATTATGCAGAGACATAATTAATTTACATATAATTTCACACAGATGATAAGTATGTCTGCCTCTATGGCACTGCTAAATTTCATTAAAATACATCATCCGATGACTTTGTCGGGGCGTCGTAAACTGGAGATAGGTTTTTAGGTATTGGTTTGCACACGCCGCTGTAAGCTCGGGACGTTCGTCGCTAGCAATAGTAGCCTCTTGGACATTTTTTGGTAGGGCTGTAAGTGTCCCCTTCATTAAGGAGGAAAATAGAAGAAATTAGAGCTGAAGTATCGAGGGGGGGGTAAACACGTCAGGTCAACATTTCAATTGCGCACGCGCACAAAAATGTCGGAGGGTACACGGGACTAAAGCAAAGTTCTCGTTTCGTAGTAAGTCACCAATTCAGAAACTGCGAACTGCCCGTTCTTAACGTGGCTTTGGTGTTCAAACTTCTGTGCGACACTTTCACTTTCATCTGGCCTATCTGGAGCATGGCGGACACAGGAGGGCGCTATTTGGGTGGGTAAATTTCACTGACATATAAATACATAGACAGACATTTAAGACAACGGCGGGGAACCGTAGCCGAGACGGCACCCGACTGAATCCAAAAGTGTGGGCAAAGTCCCCCCTCGGTATAGGGAATTTACACACACAATTGAAGAATTCCAGCTATAAAACGCTATGAAGCCATTTTCCGGTTGTGGAAAAAAACCCTTTGTTTACTTAATCTGGCCCATGCAGATGCGAAACAGTGCGGTTGCAACATTTGAGAAGAAGAGATAACGGTACAAAAGAGTAAAAACGGGAGTGCCTTTCATATAGATCATAATGTAAACAAATATATGCAATCTAAGTGCGTCACGCGGATTTTGCACTGAACGCGCTGCCAATCATCGTTTCGCCCACTGCTTGCCCACGCTTTTTAAAGTCACGGTTATGCGGTTATGGTGGCTTGGGTGTTTATATGGCTGCGGTAAATTTGGAGAAACTGACAAAAGCTTCCGCTCAGACAAAGTAGCGCCCTCCTGTTGTGTCACCCACGGTCCTGATGGGTCATGCTGAGCGAATCAAAATGCAGAATTTGGATTAGGGCGTGACCACCCCGTGCACACAGACTTCTTTGCACCTATCAGCTCCGACACTCTTGCGCCGAACTAAAAAATAAATCACCAAATTGAGTTTTGCTCATGCCCAGTCGAAACTGGCTGTGGTGTTGTAGAGAAAATGCATCCATTAAGATGGCACTAAGGAGACATTATAACATTTCATCACTTGTGACCTAAAAGGAAATCTTACCACGCTCCTCGAGTGCCAGGTTCTCCTCCAGTAATTCACGCAGCTCTACCAGAAGCTGATCCACCGTAGATCTCTCTAGAGGGATTAGATGAGATTGGATGTTCATTCAAAATAAGCAAGAAAACCAAACTCTGGCTTAGAATTTTGTTTAAGTACGCAACTTAATTGGGACTAACTCTAGCTTAAAAAAAAAGATGTAAGTTGAAACACTGCACAGACACTGACTGGAGTCGACAAAAACAATAAATCATTCTAACTTCAACAAAATCCCATGGATCATGAAGTCTGCTACAACGAGAAGCCCTGGCGCTCATCGTTTGCTCTGCGGTATCTCGTTTTTGCTGTTCTGTTGTTCTTGGAAACTGGTTTGCTTCTCAATCCTACCTTTGGGAATTGACACGGCAATGGCACAGCTGAGGCAAATAGCCAGAATCAGATAGGTGTAACCCTTCATTTTCGCTTCCGTGCTCCTGCTGAAAAATGGAGGAAAGCTGCTAAAACAAATGAAGGAAAGTGGCTTTCTTGACAGGCTGCGGACATGTCGACACCGTGTGCGTTGTGAACACAAAGACAACTATAGTCTAAAAGTTTCAACTTCAACCCTTTTCAAAAAGAGAAATGGCCGGTAAAAATTCACACTGATTCGCAAGTTGATTATAAAAATTTAGAAGCTCATAAAAAACTGAGGTAAGGCTACACACGCAATCTGGGTATTATATTATTTCTCAATTGTTTGATTTCTTCAGAAAAAAGCCCCTGTGGGTTACTTGCCTTATCTCGCTGTCAAGTTGCAGTTCGACTGGATTTGTGCTTTGTACTCCGTTGATGTGTTCAGTGTGGATGCTCGAACGGTATTCTCAGACTGGATTCCACTGACAGAACACCGATTCATTCTCTTAACAAAGCCAAACTGGAAAGGTATGCATACACACTAGGCAGCCCACGTATTGTGCCTCATATTTCGGGTGTTTATCGGAAAGGGACTCGATGCATTAGCCTATTGTCCGATAAAAATAGGCTTTGAAGGTCACTCATCTGCTTTGAGCAGTCTCGTTTATTTTTTTGCCATGGGATACTTGCACATAGGCCTAGGAACTGCCCACAGTGACAGGTGCCTTTCAAAACGAGACATGGGGGTTATGTTTCTTATAAGCTTCCAAAGGTTTGTTTGCCTCGTTCAGTTCATGTTATGCACAAGCAAAATGGCCTGTTTTAATCAAATCCCATGATGCTATGAGAATGACGAAAACGTTCATCGTAATGTCATGTCGGTGAAAGAAAGTTTGTGTCTGTTTGTCACGATTTCAACTGCGCAAGCGCATATAATCACTTGACTAATTCTAGGCCTGTACATGAGCGCGATTGCTTCTCCGTGAAGTTGTTCACTGCATGGCCTTCGTCTAGCTCGGATCTGTCCAGACTTTAAAAATTCTTCATTTTTTACCGAGCAAATCAGCCGTGACACAGACACAACACATCGCTTGGCTTTTATGCCGCCGGTTATGATTGAGTGCCTCGTTCGCACAACCTCGCGGAGCGTGACGATTTACGACTCTCGACCCGAAGCGCCACGTTGGGGCTCTTGGCAATGATATTGTGCTTGTTGTTGACTGGCAAAGAATGGAGCTAATTCATCGCCCGTCCTGGTAAAATGGCAAAATGTGCCCCAGGATCGACGTATATTTCGTTCACAGCTTGACCTACACAGCATTGTGCCCAGTATGGTTTCAGAGCTCCTGTGATCCTTGATCTTGCGGCGGTTGTGGTTGCAACACAGCGACACTATACTGACTGGGCCATCACTGGCCCAGGTGAGGCCTACATCTCGACATCGAAAAGTACACCATTGCCTTTGTAGTAGATAGTGGGTTTATCTGCAACTTCTATGTACGATCTTGCTACACGCCATGTTGGTTCTGACCATCCCCAAGCGGAGGTGAACGCACGAAGCCTAGCGGAGGTCCACGAAACATGAAAACCCAAACATCCCGCTTAGAGATTCATATTAAATCTCAGGCCAAGTTAGGAGATTAAAAACCTCATGAATCGATACATCATCGATGCAAACTAATACATGACATTGTATAAGGGACATGCAATCAAACAAATATTTCTATTTTCTAAGTTTTTGAATCTCTTTCAAGAAACTATGCCGTGAAACTTAAATACGACACTTAATTAATACCTTCACCGGCCGGCTGGGCACTTGCCAAACGACTGGACTTACACTTTGTATGGTTTGGATACTTAAACCTGTATTCTGGACTTCACTTTAAGCTTTAATTTTGTATCACTTGAGGTAATTCTGGCATACTGTGCACCCATCAGTTTTAATATGACCGATTCTTGGGAAACAATCTAAAAAAAAGAAGTTATTTGATGTTTGACTCCTTCACTTGCCACACAGGGTACTGCCTAAACTACATAGCTTGTTTGCCACGCAATCCCATTATCTAATGAAAATGTAGAGATGTTTGTCACAGGAGCATGCCAGTGACGGAAAATTAATGAGAGTTTCCAGCGAAGTGCGTTCTCAACAGCCTCAGTGTGGAGCGCAATGCACAAGAGGCAACAGGAGTCCTGTTGGTTGCATGGTAATTAGGACTATGAACTGCTGCCGGCAAACACAGCTCTGAGGCACGGGACCGGGAACCAGACAAGCTTAGCAGTTAACCGTCGCATATTTTTCAGAATAATGTGGCACGTACTATACTATGAGAAAAATACCTAAAAAGACTTTCAAAGCTCAGGCCATCGTTGGTCATTCTTTCCTACAATGTCGTAAACAAAGCCATCTTGTGACCCCTAAAGGAAGGTGACCCTTAAAAAGCAGTCGAGAATTAAGCCCCCCGCCATTTGGAAATATTGATGCCTACACTTCTCGAAAAATGGACCGTTCCCAGGCACCAATTTCTTCCAAATCTCACTCAGACGCGAGCTGGTATTCTCTTTGCCCGCCTTAATCTGTCTTTCCTACAAATCTTCAAGTTCATGGGTTCTTCAAGCAGTTTTCCGCCTGTTTATTGGCCTGCAACCAGGGGTGTTGTGAGAGTAGCGACAGCTTCAAGTTCAAACTTTGAAAACAAAATGGCCGTTCATAATGTGTGCAGTAGAACGTGCAGTGCAGCAGTAATGTTTCTATTTGTCCAGGTGAACTGGCGCATACACCTACAAAGTTCGCTTCCAACAACGGCGACACTAATGTCGCAACTCTTTCGACAAACGGCTCCGGTGGTTGCTAACGCACGCTGACCAACATTAAACCTCACGGTTTCCGGCAAAGATCGGTGACCCTTTAACGATTTCATCAAGCTCATTTTGGCAAACACTGATAACCAACTCCTGTCAACACCCAATTTGCTGCCTGTCCAATGACCCTAGAAAACTAATCAACTTGGACCCGGATCTTAATTTTTTTTATCACCGGGGGAAATTTCAAATTTGAATGAAAACTCCTTTCTTTCCCATGTCTCAATTTTCCTTCGAATTCAATCCACGATCCAAAACCAATCTTAGCTATACGCTTGAAGGCCATTCCCAAATCCAATATTAAAGCCATTTTTCAAATTTGCTCCCTGTGCTTGAATTTCACCCCCGCCGGTACGGGATGCACAATAAAGAATTAGAAAGGGCGGGACAAGAACCGAGTAACAAGGGGAAACGAAAATTGATACGAAAGTTAACAAGGTTGAATTTCTTTCCTCGTTTATGGGATTATTGGAAAAGCTTGGAGAAATGCTGGAGAAAATGTCGACGAAAGATTAACGATATAGTTTTGGCGACAATATTATGCCACTATATTCCGCGTGTTTGAATATAAGCCGATCGTGTCCAAATAAAAGCGTTTCCATAGTGTTTAACAGGAGAAACATTCCTGAATTTGGCATGGCTAAAAAAACCACAAAGGTAGGAGACCACTCAGCTTGCGGCCGACTGCGGACTGCTTGGAGGTTTCACTGATTTACGCGGAACAACTCATTCCGATGTTGTGCCGAAACGCTTTACATGCGACTGTATTGTACTAAATCAGTCAAATGAGGGCGGTATTCGGGCCAGCCGGCAAAATGCGTCTTGTTCAATTTTTATACAGTCTCCTGCCATTCAGTATTTTTATTTCAGCATTGTTCGTCATTTTACTCATTCATACTTACATATTAATTGACACGTAAAACGTTGGTATTTTTCCTAGAATTTCTCTTTTTAAAATTTGCTTTTTGCCAATTTACTTTGAGTTTAACGTCAGTTTTAACTCTTCCTCTGTTATCAAAGTAAGCATTTTTAACAATTATTTATAGCAACCACAACCTACCTATTAATACTTCCCAATTAATATTTCAAAATGCATGTATTTTCCAACGAAATAATCTCTTACAGTGATCTAGAAGTTTCGACGAGAAAGTATATACATGTACATGTTATTCCAAAGTAGTAAACGAGGTCTTCATCTGAAGAGACAGTGAGCTGCGATTCCCAATTACTTGCTTTCATGGTGCTTGCTAGCTGGTGGTACAAAAAGTCCCCAACTCTGTACAGTCGTATCGATGGCACTGGATAACTTGAATCTAGCATATTTCTGCAGCTACCTTGTACATGCAAGCCCACTTCGACTTGACTGTGAGATTATGAAGACAGCGTGCGCGCTCCCTACGGTCCACCGAGGGTGCCAACCCTATGCCTCTGTTAACGACTCGAGATATAGTTACACCGTGGCATGTGAATGAAAAAAAGTTGTACACCTAGCTGAAGACGGGTGCACAATTAACGGCTATAGCCAAACCTGGATAACGGATGGAATTCGTCTCACGGCTCAAAGCATCGGTGAAAACTTTGGTTCTTTTGTACCACGGAGCCATTAACAGCTCCAGGCTTGCACAATGGATACCGGTGGAGGGAAGGGCGTGGTTTGAGTCGGATCCGCAACCTCGCCCTCCGAACCAAAGAATTTCCACCTTTTCGTCGCTTCTCCTCAACATAACCTGTGACCATATACGGTTAACACCCAGGGCTATAATTCAACGCGAACACCATAGTACACATTTTGTCGTCCTTTACACTGCCCTGCCTGATGGACCGCATCCAGTCGCCATTTTGAGGCAGCATCGGCTCAAGGTGCCGTCAGTGATTAACCCCCAGGCTTTAAATAATCATTTCAATGTCTTTTCTTCTTTTAAACTCCTTGATTCCCCCCCTCCCTTGTCTAGTGTTGTGTTTCCTTCTTGTTTTTCTGGCGGGAGCTAAATAATTTCTACTGATGCGTTCCTCTGAGTGACTCAGTACAGAGGGGGTGAGCTTTTCTCGGGGCATTCATTTTTTTCTGACTGCCAATCATCTCGATATCAACCAATCATTGCACGACCCCTTCAGTCCGCTGTCGACCGACGCAGAAACGCAGCTGTCCGCGCAGCAAGCAAGCCCACGCCACGTGATAGGCGAAGCGTGGCGAGTCAATTCAAGATTCCCTACCACTCTCGAGTCACTTGCCCGCCCTATAGAGAAGACAAAAAAAACACACCAGCGCCCGCTACCGAGTGAGTGACCGCGTCACATACAAGGTAGTCGCCCGGAACTGCCACCAGCGATATTCGGGAACTTCTCACAAACGATCGCATCCGTCCCAGTGCAGTCCGAACAAAGGCCCACTAAAAGGATCCCCCTTCCCACGTGCCCGGTCTAGGAATACAAAGGACACCGCCTCGCAGACAACTACATTGTATATATAAACCAGAGACATCGAACAGAATTTTCGCCATGTATCATCCAGTGACTGGAGGGGTACACGAGAAGATTGCTGCATGACAGCGCGTGACGGGCAGCGACAACATTGACCTTCACGCGCCAAAAGTTTCGAATCTGTAGTTAATGATTACCCTCCAGTCGGCGCTGAACTTGGACTCTTCTGCTGTGGTGATTTGTCTTCTTCTAATCACCAGCGACGCAAACTAAGAGCTTTGCTGGGCTGGTGTAAGATCCCATCCACGACAAGTAAACATCAAACCCGGGTAAGTACACCTAAGTATAATCTTTCCTGACAAGAGTGCCCTGTGTGCACATTGCGGGACGTGTGTAATCAACGTGGTTATCTTAAAAATGGACCAAAGTTCAGGGCACGTTATTAGATGTGCTATAGCTGTCCAAACTCTTCTATTTGCATACGCTAAGCTTAATGGCCGGTGCAGCTTAGTACATTGTCACGGCACACCGAGCATGCCTTCTCGATGAACAATTGTTACATCATATGACTGCCCATCTGGACGCGGCCATATGCGACTGTCACCCTTTTGATGGCACACAGTTGTCTGATGGATTTGAAAAAAAAAAGAGTTCAAAGGAAAACGTTTATCCGTGAATACACCTTCTTCAGTAACACTGAGTTTGCCGGTCACCGACACCAGCGCCGGTACACATAATTGTCTTCGCAGCACGACTGGCTCACTATCAACTCAAAAGAGTGCGTGTAGCGGTGGCATCCAATTAATACGCTATCATCAATCGGGCATACCGCTGAGTCACTACAAACGTTAGCGTCAGATCATCACTGTAGATCAGGGACACTCATGGGAGAAAATGGATGGCTGAAGACTCGTAGTGGATGTGATGATTGAATGGCGATGTATACATTTCTCGTCTCTCTCATCCACAGGAGGCTACAGCGATGACGCTGATGACATTGGCAGCAGGTTTTTCTCCCCTTGGGATCCGTTGGTAGGCTGTGGTGCAACGACGATGACAGCTCACGTATTGCTTCTTCACCTACCACACCAGATCTGACCAAGATGGCACTCCGGGGGGTTGTCACCGCCACCCGCCTCTCTGGCCCTCCCCGTGCCTTGCCCGCCATCCTTGTCATTGTCCTGCTGGTCGACCAAGTCGCCCAGGTGGGCACCTACAGCGGGATCCACTACACTTGCCGGGGCGACCTCAACCTGGGCGGTCTGGTCCCCCTCCACAAGTACGACGAGACAAACCAGCAGTGCGGGCCGCTCCGAACCATCGGAGCCCTGAAGCGCCTGGAAGCCATGGTCTTTGCCGTTGACACGATCAACCGGAACTCCAGCCTGCTGCCGGGGATTGACTTGGGCTTCGAGATCTACGACACCTGCTCCTCCAACGCCGTGACACTGCGGGACTGCTTGAATTTCATCCCGCCCCAGCGTTGGGACGGCAACTGCTCGCTGCTGAGATCCGAGGAGCTCTGTCCGGACACCGAGCCTCCCATCGTCGGCGTGGTCGGCGCGCAGCGCAGCGGCTCCAGTGTCCAGGCGGCGATCCTCCTCGGCCTGTACCACATCCCACAGGTCAGCTACCTGTCCACCAGCGACGAACTCTCCAACGTCCTTCGCTACCCGTACTTCCTGAGGACGGTTGGGCCCGACAGCTACCAGGTCGAGGCCATAGCCGATCTGATCGAGGAGTACGGCTGGAATTACGTTTCCTTCATCAATTCAGACGACACGTACGGCAAGAGCGCCCAGCAGGCCTTCCGGACGACGGCGCAAAAGCTCGGCGTCTGCATCGCTATCACCCGCACCGTCTCTCTGTACGCCACAGACGAAACCTTCGACGACCTGGTGGTCGAGCTGCTGACGCTTCAGACCAGCAGCCACGCGGTGGTCGTCATCCTCTTCGTCCAACTCGAAATGGCTGAAGACATTTTCCGGGCGGCCACTAAAGCGGAAGCCAACCGGCGGTTCATCTGGATTGGGAGCGACGGTTGGGGAAACTACGGAGACGACGCCGTCAAGGATTACCTCAACGCTACAGTCGGTAAGCTTGTCAATGCTTAAATCATATTCACCAGATTATATCATGACAGCGGATTAATAGCACAGATTTTCAAGCTGACACGAAATACAACAGAACTATCGAAAGATACAAACTGGGGACACCTGTGGAACCTTTCCCTCAAAGTCCTTAGACCTTAACTAAATAGGTGGGTTGAACCATAGAGCAACAGAATTCTCAAAAAATAAATACCGCTCTTAATATCTATGGACATGATGAACACTGGTGCTTTCGAGGAGTTATCTAGCCATTACTTGTCACAGATTAATTCGCTTCAAACTTGTTTCACACAGGCATAGGTCGAAATATCTCCATACAGTGGCCTCAACAACATCCTATGACACTTAAACAACACTAATATTATGACACTATGACACCAACTCGTGGGAAAAGCCCCCCCCCCCGGTAGCCAACAGGACAGATGAACAAGATATAAAGATTTCAACTCCGTAACAACTCAATTACTAAACAGTACCGAAACACCACTTTCATATGACTCATCCCTGCGGGCTTTATTTTAGGCTGCAAGTAAAAAGGTTAGTTGAATGGTTGGTAAAATTCGATTAAGATTGTGCCAAACGAGGGCAAAATCCTGAGAACGTTGCAAATTGCGACCGTTAGAAACAGCGACAGAAGAGATCTTTATGTCGCTGTGGACCGTCAAATGGAATCGATGAAAATAAGCCTTCGGGCGTCGCTGCCCACAAAGTTGGCGCGCGCTGCGTCTAATTGACCGTGCACAAACTGAATTGCTTGGCAATTGTGGGTGAAAATATCAGTTCCACGTCGACCTTTTTTGGCTGATCGGTTTACTTGGTAACAAGAAAGTATCGCATTCCAGTATGACAAGAAAGGAACGAGTGTAATACAAGTGACACAGTATCACGTCTTTCCCCTGTGGATAAAAACGCTACTAAATCTGTGGTCGGTGCATTTGCGTCTGCGTGTAAGACATGTTTTCTAAGTACGTGTCAATTGTTTACGTAAGAGCAATCACCGCATCCTTTTTTTTCCTCTCTCTCTCTCTCTGTGGTATCCTTCAACCCACTTCATCAAGTTGTCAGCACAGCGATAACACTTGCTTTCTAGGTTTGCTGATAGGGCTGAGTGATCAAACAAAACCCACACATTGCCCGACACCCATACCCCCCCCGTTGTCACGCGGGAAGACGAGTTCCTAGACTTCGTCCGCGCTTTCTCGGATAGTACTCGGTGCAGTCACCTGCCCATGGGCCCACCTGCACACCGCAGATGTTACCTACACGACAAATAAAACAGAAATTCGACGTCATCTGTACCATAACGCATGAAATTCGTCAAACTTCTTTAAAAAAAAAAAAAAGAGTATGGCTAAGTTTTGGGGACATAACTAGGATGAAAAATCTTTCAAGTCCAGTTTCGGAGACGTATAATTTGATTAACTCGCTCTTCCCAAATATAAGCGGAAAGCCAGCTTGACAGGCGGTGCAATTTTCGTCACACAATGGCTTTCAACTGATACCAACCGAGTGTTGATCTCTTACCCTTGACCAGCTGAGGTTAGAGGTCATTATGACCCGTACAATGGTCAAGTACAGTCTCAGCAGGAGTATAGTTTTGGCTAATTTTATTCAAAGTGATTTACACAATATTGCTTCCCCAATATGTAAAGTGATTTACAACAAAGTTCAAGCAAACAATGCAAAAAAACCACACACAGAGTAGGCCGCTATGTTAAGCTTATCTTTCGGAGCGCCCTGATCAGTTTCTTGGGGGGGCATTGTTACTGTATTTAGGAATCGGCAAGTTTCTGCGTGTGCATTTATCATTCCAGAGAAGACAGTACCGAACAGCAGCGTGACCAGAGGGCGTTGATAAACTGCCTATAAAAAGCTTGCCGGCTTGCGCTAATAAAAACTACACATTCGTCACTGAAACTCACGAAGCAAGAAAAATGACGGTCGGCGCAGTATAGCGAGAGAGTTTAAAGCAGGCAAAAGCACCGAGTCGTTTATTTCCGTTCAGGTTTTTTTTTGTTGACTGGGGTAGCCTTTAACGTGGCGAGAAGAGTAAACACGGAAAGTTGCCTGTGCCGACGTTAACGCCTCCCCCCGTCTGAAGCGTCAACCGCGCCGCTATAGAAGAATTTATCGTATTGATTTAAACTGGTTTGCCAAAGTGCGAGCGTTGTTGTTAACACTGCAAGTGGCGTGTTTCTGTTTTACTGCAAACAAAGGTAACCAGGGTGGGGACACTTAAGGCAGAAAAACGAGTGTTTCTAATAATGCTATGTACCGATACCGCCAAGCAACCCCCCAATTAAAAACAAAAATCTGCTAAAAATCTCCAGTGCAGTGCAATGTGCAGTGCACGTGTGCAGCGGTCGTGGTTTAAAATGAAGTGACGTCACACTTACTAACCGGATAGAGTACTGAAGTGTGACGTTATTAAGAACCAGAAAGTGAAGTAGAAATGAATGGAGTGCGCGCGTGTTGGTTAACGCGCTGGTTCTCTCGCTAATACCTTTGACACACGTAACTGTGCGTGTGACGTTTCACTTCTGTACTCACCGGTACCGACGAGAACACGTCACACTCACAATTAGTGTGTAAAAGGCTTTAGCGCGAGAACCAGCGCGTGAAACAACGCGCACGTACTCCATTCGTTTGCACTGCACTTTCTGGTTCTTAATAACGTCACACATCGGTACTCAATTAGCGAGAGAACCAGTGCGTGAAACAACGCGCACGTACTCCATTCGTTTGCACTGCACTTTCTGGTTCTTAATAACGTCACACTTCGGTACTCTATCCGGTTCGTATGTGTGACGTCACTTCAGTTTAAACCACGCCCACTGCACATGCACTGAACACAGAGTTACATGCACTGATCGCCGTTTACATGGAAATGGAAAATAACGCGCAACTTCAGCGATTGTCCCATGGGAGCTTCCTAATCGTGGTGCGTCCGCCTTTGCGACGAAGTCACTTACGAACCGGATGGAATACCTAAGTGAATACGTCACGCACACTGTTATGTATGTTAGACACATTGGGTGCGTTCGATTAGCTTACACGTGTAAGTCAAACTTACACGAGAGCGTTCATTTAGCCATCACGTGATCTTTCGTGCCTGCTCTGGTGTCAGCCACCACTACCCCAGCTGGCGAGCGGGTCTCTGTAGGCTGCTCGAGTGTAATGATGTCACGGATGGACTGTTCGTGCATGGACGTACATGATGGAACGTGGCGGGGACTTGACCTTTTTCCCAGAATGCCTTGGCAAATATACTGCAGCGTTCGATTAGCCTCATTTCGAGGCTTCCCTTGCGTGTAACACTGGTGTGTTCAGGGAAGCTAATTGAACGCACCCATTGATCTCCATTATGTAGACTATATAATGGGGATCAATGGTGTTAGAGGCATGAGCGCGAGAGCTAGCGCATGAACCAACACGCCTGCGTACTCCGTTCATTTGCACTACACTTGTTGGTTCAAAATGACGTCACACTTTGGACATTTACTTACACAGCGAAGACATTCATCCATTGTCAAAGATACCAAAAGAAGTAAACAGATACACGTATACCTCCGTTTTAAGAATACAAGTTGCACTGGTGTAAAACGAGCCATTTGGGGCCAGAAGCTCAGACATCCAGGGTTGTTGAAAGGATCCAAACAGATTTCCCCTCCGAATGACGGTCAATGGCCAAGTTCGATCGGGGATCACTTTATCAACCACTGATCGATTCTCCCTGGTAATCACTGCACATATTGTATCCCGAGTACCAGGTAAAATCGACCAATGGTTGACTGACCGTCGCTGATCGAACTTCGCTAATGGCAATACCATTATGAACCTCTTGATAGCTCAGCGCGTACGGCAAGGCTAGGTTTTATATTCCCACTGTTCAAGACAGTGGGATTGAATCAGTTTATTAATAGAGCGCTATGCATAACACGCGCGACCGCTTAATGACTTTGTTTCATAATCACTGGGCATATTATAGTCAAGGAAATGCGACAGCTTGACAAGGGGAGAATGGAAAGAATCGACTGGGTGCCATGCGGCCTTCATTTTATGTTAAAAGCACGCTGATTAAGAGTAGTTCTATATTTGAAAGTAGACGGAAAATTATGACAAAGTTTGTATGTCGTGTGATACTCAATCGTTTATGTCGATACCAAAATTTAAACAACTCATAGGAACGGAAATTGCATGGAATCTGCGCTCGACATGCTTTGCATCAATTGGCTCGCGAGTCTGAATTTCAGTTCAAACGAAAAATATCGATGGAGAGAAGAATAAATCGAGGAGCGCCCCCGGTTTCATTGATCGACGGCGATGTTGCTTCGAGTTGGCCATGGCATTATGCAGCTCAGAGCGGTGACTTTGATTCAATTTAAACTGGGCAGTTGAGGCAGACAGGAGGACGGCCGCTTGTAGTCGGCCGTGACCAGAGAGGGGAGCCGGCTTGGTTCGGCACGTGGCGGGCGGTGTTCGACTAGGTTTTCTGATTGCATTAACAGTCTATTACAGCTCGAGAAACACAGACTGCCGGACAATAAAGCACACTTAATAAGCCAACCGCAAGGCTAACTTCATTACAGAGGTAGCAAAGAACGGCGCACCGCTATTATTCGGGTGTGCTGGATGGATTTCATGCTGATCTCGTTTATGTCAGTCCCGGTGGAAAACTTGTCGACAGTACGCTGAATAAATGGAGAAAAAACAAACAAAACAAAAAAGATCATACAAAACTGCCTCATTTACGGAAAATAGTTTGCGTTGAAAAAAATCTAATACTTCGCAAATAGACAAATAGCATTTTGAAATCACTGAAGTTATTCTTGCCACATCTATAACCCGCAGAGTTTGTTCTTCCTAATAAAGTGACCAGGGCTGATGCGTTTTCAATCTGACTCCTACGAAGATATTTGCCAATATTTTGATAAGAGTTAGTTTAGACTGCTTGTCTTGGCGTGAGATGCGCAGTATAGTCTA